TATTTGGGTGCTAATTTATTCTATTTTACTTCTGTCCTAACTATGTGATTGTATTCATTCATTCATTCACTCATTCATTATTTACTAAATCCCTTTTCTTTGCTCCAGGAACTGTTAGGTACATGGTGACCTGCCTTATTTTTCTTTTTATCCTACCAAACCTGGAGATGAACTCTCAAAGATTCTAGCTAATAGGACAATCATATTAAGAACTTCATTTTGCTCATCACCTCTTGACATGCTTACCTTTCATCCTAATCTAACTTGTTTTTGGAAACTGTTTATTACTTAGCAGAAAGCTCTTATTTTTTCATTTATTTCTGTTGTTAGTTTATTATTATCATTATCATCACTATTAATATTTTTAGTCTTGGTCCCTGCATTCTAGGGTGATTTATACTAAATTTTTAATAATTTAATATTAAGATGCAAACTATGAATTTTTCCTTTACTTCAGAATTTCTGTTCTGTACAGAATTCTTTCACAGGCATTGGAAATTGAGTGGTTGTTTTGACTTATTCTGAAACAAAGGTGAATTATTTTGTCCATGTGATTCCAATGATGACATGGTTACAAAGAGAGCATCCCTTTAAAGGTAGGAGATATCAAAGCATCATTTGATTTCTATTTGTTATTATTTATTATTTTGCTAAAACTTAAAGCTAGAAAACAGTAAATATACTCTTCGTACTTTAGAATATAATATTGGCATTATATGTGGATATTTATTGTCCAACTTCATATTTCATTATATTAGAGATACAATCATTACTCCTTAATCTTTTTCTATAGTTAGAAAAGTTTCAGTTCCTTTTTGGATACATTGGGACAATGTTAAAGAGGATGAAAATATGTTTTTCTGAACCCAAACAAAATAAACTCAGTTACTGAGAAAGATAGAACCTGGTAAACCCTCAAGTTATTGATGAGGCCATTGTTAAGGAAAAAAATCCCTATGTGATACAACACCTGAGCTACAAAATCAAAGGAAGCTCTCAAAAAAGATACACAAAAGGAAAATGTAAAGATTGTAATACTCTGCAGGGTATTAGCCTTAGAAATGATTGTTTTTAAAATACTAAATGCTAATAATATAACACTTTCTTTGACAAATAATGAAACAGTTAATTAGCTTAATCATTACCTGTTATTGTTTTACTTTTCTATTATTGTGCTATGAACCAGCAGAATAACAACACTCCGCTATAAATGAGGCCAGCACAAGACCAAGTGATCTACATTTTGTACTTGGCTCAGCCCCTACCCAGTTGTTACCTCTGATAATAGAGTTAATTTTCTCATTTGTAAGACAAGGGGTCTGAGCTGAATTGCACCAAAGCTATTCTATCTCTGACTTAATGACCACAATGGAAGGATCTGGCCAAAGTGCCCCAGGCGTGGTCTCTACCTTTACACATCAATGAAAGCAATGTTCCAATTTTTTTCTCTTCCCTCATATAATGGTGATGTAAACCAACCAATGAGAAAAGTTCCAGTGAATTCCATAGTAAGCACCAAGCAAGGATGTCTACACATTGACAAAAATTCATTATTTGACAGGGCTTTCTCTAGAGCAAGGGAAATTCTAGGTCTTTCCACAAAGTCCAACCATAGTCTACCTTGTAGGACAAATCAAAACAATTTAAATAAGTTCAGGGAAAATAAATTGGGACAAGAAAGACCAGAAGAGTCTTATATGTGAAATACATGACAATGTAGAAAAGATAAGTGAAAGAGTACGTAATAGAAAGTCTTTTTAAAAAAAAAAAAACAAAAAAAACAAAAACGCTTGCTCAACTGTTTTTTTGTTTGTTTTTGATTTGGGCTTGAGGAACCAGCACAAATGACATTGTGCGCTATGAGCTGACGGGCCACTGTGATTATTTTAGGGAGTGCAGCCTGGCTTCTCCAGCAATGCTTTCATGAATGCCCTTAGTTCATACCAGATGGAGAGGTTGAATTTTTATTCTTCCAGGAAATTAGAGTTACAATGAAAGGAATGCAAAATATACATCATCTTGACATCCTCAAAACAATGGAAACAAGGGGGGGGGATTTTATGGGGACTATAACCAAAATGAAAATGCATACATTGTGCAAAAATGAAAATGATGTAAAAATATATACAAAATAAAATAAAAAAAAAAACAATGGAAACAGTCACAAATTTTTCCTTTGTTTTTACTTATTTGGTCTGGATCCAAAGGGCTACAGTTGAGTATAATTTATCTTTATGTCCATGTTCATGATTTTTTAAAAAGCAATATTTTCATTTGACTTCTTGGATTTTTTTTTCTCCATAACAAGGAAGCACACTGAAATTAAATAAACCTAAATATTTTTTAATGCCCTTTCATCATATCCATAAAGACCTCCATAAAGACGGGGCAGATGATTGTGGGTATCCATCATTAAACATGGCAAGCACTTGGGAAGGGTCCAAATGCTGTGCCAGCCAAACCAATTCAACCCTGAACAAGAATATTCAACATGCAGTTATGCAAGATCTAGGTACTTCACTCAACTGTTGAACCTTTAGTCAAGAAGGTACTAATTGTTTCAATATCTTGATGCATGATCTGTTACTCTACAACATAGCAATATAACAAACTGATAGAGATACACTAAACCTTAACACTAACAGGCAACATCTGATTTCCTTACATACACCAAAGGTAGGGGCTGCAACATTGAGTGCCTATGATGTGCAATGGAGTAGACCATCAATAAATGTTTGTTTTCTGGATGATACTAGAAAGTACATCGTTTCTCTCTTATATTCTTTTAATCAGAATATCAAAAATAAATTCATAACACCTACAACAAAGTGTTCAAATTTTGATCTCTGTTGTTTCTCATTTTACTATTATATCTAACTGATCTCTCAAGAGAGGCTGAAAAGACTCAATTATCTATTAGAGATACATCTATTATTGAATCATACTAAAATCATATGACTTCTGAAAATTTAATAATTTATAATAACTGCTCACTTATATCAATGAATGGGTTTTTTTCAACTGAACCAAACTATTAGAGATTTCTGAGGATTCTAACAATTTTAGAATCAATAGGTACTTTACTCTAATGCCTCCACCGCCATCATAAAGAATGAAAAACATAAAACTTGCAGCTAGAAAAAAATAGACTAGAATGCTTATATTGATTGCCTGATTCATGAAATTAAGGGTAATTTTTATTTTCAAATTTTTTATTTTCTTAATTTTTGTTTTCAAAATTTTCTGCAATAAATGCATCTTACTTGATTGAAGAAAGGTTATTTTTGAAAGATAATGTAAAATAGCACCATATTAAACGAGAAAGTAAAACAAAGCAAAAGGCAGCTGTAAATACCCTGGCCAGACTGTTCCCTTCAAGCAGTCAAAGAAGCTTTCTAATCATGAATGGTAGAGCAACAGGGCCCAGAACCAGGTAATTAATAATCCTTTGGCCCATGTAATGAAAAAGGATAGTCTAAGCCATTCAGCTCTGTTCATCTGTTCAGTCATCTTTATGCACAATTTAAGGAAACAGCATCTAAATCTGTAAATCTGTAAATCTCACAATCTATCGTGAGAAACATACACTATGGAAAGAAGATTTGGAAAGAATTAAGCTCTGTTTCTAAATTTTCTCTAAATCTAACTTCTGAGGGTGGATCTAAGAATTTTTTGTTCTCGTTTTAAAGTAACAAAAGACTAAATGTAAAATTGGAATCAGTTCCCTTTTAAAAATAGAAGAGAGAGAACAAAAATAGAGTGTGAGGGCGTGATGATGATTCCTATAGCATCTTAATATCATGGGTATATTAAGCAAATGCATGAAAAGTGTTTTCACACACCCACTATGACTGAAAAATGCACATGCACCCAAACCAGCCTATATCTCCAGGAATTGAGGGCTATAGAGTCCCTATGCTTTCGAAGTTCTGTTTTCCCAAATAAAGAATACTGAAGTTCAGAGAGTTTAAACAACTTACATCGAAAACCTAACAGATTAAAATACTATTTTTATATGAGCTTTCCTACTTGTAGGAGAAAAGCAAGAAAGTTATTTATAAAATACCTGTTAGTGGTACATTATAAAAAGGAAGCTGATACAGAGTCTCTGGGACACACTGTCATGACCAAGCTTCTCAGGTTTGATGCCACAAGTGCTGCAGTCAGCCTATAGCAACCGATGACTTTCTAGATCTTTGAGAATCATCTGAGGGAAGCCATGGTGAGAATAATGGGAAAGTGATGGCCATACCCATGATAATATGGACCACGTTACTACCTAAGGCAACAGGAGAGTGTGTGGACCTGAGATTGGGCACGAGGGCCCTGGTCCCTGCCCTGCCTCTGGTTAGCTGGGTAACTGTAGTATGTCACCTGACCTCATGACTTGGGCATTCTAATCTACAAGTAAGAGTACTTCTAGGGCCACTGAGACTCTTTTAATTCTAAAATTCTAAATTTTCTTTTTTTAGTGACTGATTGTAGAGCAAAGGTCTAGACCTCTTACAGTTTTTTAAAAGTTAAAGTTCTATGAAGAATTCCAATTTCTTCCTAATTAAAAGTGCATTAAGGCAGAGCATGGAAGACTGCAATTTCCATTTGGAGAGATTCAAGAAATGAGGAATGACCACAGCCATACACCAGGCCCAAATTTTCTATCTCTTAGAAAATTGGCATAGCTTAGACAAACTACAAATCTATTAAAATCTGTGATTATGAAAAAGAATTGCATTTAAAGGGGAAAAAGAAAAATGGAAAGAAAGAAATCAATACATTTACTTCTTCCTAACCTTAGTTGTAGACTGAGGGGCAATTCAAACATGGTTTTCAATGTGATCTATGAGGAACCTTGATTCTATAAAAACATGAATTACATTTTAATAGCAAAAAAAAGATATTCTTATGTGTTCTGTCAAACCTATTAAGCTGCTGTCTTGGCACCCTGGGAGAGTGCCAATGAATCTGGAATGCAAAGGAATTGAAACTGAAATCACACAAACCCTTGGGTCCTTCATCCTTGGGGGGGTGAAGGTTCCTAACTGGATCCCGGATGCTGCAGTCTGTTCCTGCCCAGGTGAAATCACAGATGCAGGTGGCTTCATTACTACACACCTGTAAAGGACAATGAATAGACATGGGACATTTCCACTCTGCTTTGTAGAGCAATGGTGATCTATGTAAAAGAGAAACAGGATGGGGCAGAAACTTTAAAAATCTGTCATTTTAAAAAATGTATCAAAATTTTGAGTGCATGGGAAACAATGTATAGCTTAAATTGTAGTATGGTGTTTTTTCCCACTAATTATAAAAATATAAGGATTAAAAGGAAGAAAGTGTTAAATTATTATTCATGTTAATTTTTCTTGTTGATATTATTTAAGTAGCAACAATGCAGTATTTTCAAAAGTAGTTGTTTCTAGGAACATATTTTAAAAATATATATGCTAAATCACTCAAGAATTTAATAGATTATGGGCTCAAGAGGCAATGCCAGTAATTAAAGACCAGGAGATATTCACCAATGCATTGCATGACCTCCCCATGTTCAACGCCCAATTTATCTGATAATATTCAATACTTTCCCAGCCAAATGAGTACCCTCCCACTTTCTCTGACTGCCTGTGCTATCTCTTTTCTCTCAATCAGCAAGCTGAAGACCCTCCTGGGGTGATCTTTGTCTCCTCTCTCTGCCTCTGGGGGCCAAGCAGTGTGTTGGAATGGATTTGTAATTGAGATGAAACAAACAACCATTGGGAAACTTAAGACAGAGGTATTTAAACCCTTATCTGCCTGGGAAATACATTCGAGACAGATAGCTAAAGATGATGAAATCAAACTTAAGCTTATTGGTATAGAAACTTCATAAACTGAAATGTTATAAAGCCATGATAATGATCAAAAAGGCTATATTTGATCCTTTTTTAACAAGATGAAAAAGCAAGGGGTAGAGGAGCAGTAGAGAATTAAGTGTCTTTTTATGCATTAAGTATTATAACGTGTTCAGAGCAATAACTAGAATAACTGATAACATAATTTAAAATAACTAGAATAACATAATTTAAAATATAAAAAATATAAAGCATAAATAAAATCATGGCCACACACATGGGTGTTATTCTTAACAGATATGTAGGAAATAATCACAGCCAATGTAGAGATACCAGGAACAGTCACAGAACAAGAATGACTGAACTGGAAGTCTACCGACTGTGAATTCTGAGGATAAAAGATAACAGGTCCAAGCTGGAACACAGATGTCTACTCACCCCATGGCCTGAACAGACTTTACCCTTGGAATCCAGTGGGCAGCTGCTCATGTTTAGGGCCTGAATCTGTAGACACTTCCGATCTAAACACATCATAGAGGGGCCACATGGCGTTCCATCTTCCACATAGCCCACATCTGTATCATCATCTAAAACCACATGAGCACCACTAAAAGGAGAGAAATATTCATGAACCATTAGCACCACACATACAAATACAATGTCAACATGGAGCAAAGCTTGCTCTTCATGATACTGAAGAGGCTATGAGGGGACATTGTGGTAGCCTTTGCCGCTGCGGCAGCCTCTGCCGCTGAACGCATGTGAACTTACTGGAAAAAGGGAGGTGTTTACTCAGACAAACATAAGTCAGAGGAAATAAGACCCCCTTCCCCTGTGAGCTGGACTGGACAGTCAATGACGGGTAAGATCAGGGGCAGACGAGAAATGGCATTGCCCAGCCACATGTCTGTGACTCCTGATGACCTAAGACAGGCACAGTCCCCGAGGGGCATTATTATGAAAATATTTTGGCAAGGCAAATGCCTGTTGGCTCGAAGTTAAGAAACCCCTCGTTCAGCATGGTTAAGTATGTGAGGGGAACATACTGCACTTTTCCCCAAAAACATTGCTGCAAGATGGCGATATTAAACTATAAGAAGATTGATTGCTATGAAGACAATGTACCTGCCATAGCAACAACTTTTCCCTATGTTTCTGCATACCTTTTTGTTGACCTGTCTAGTTATGTTTTTCTTTCCTGCATTACTTTAATCTTCCTAGCTACAGTATAATGGTGCACAGAGTCAAATGTCACTGATTAAAATATAACTATATAAATTTGGCAATCTGAAATCCAGTAAGCAACCAAGGTGGCAAAAACATGCAAAAACTTCCTCCATCCATCAAAACATACTTTATAAGAATCAGATATAAACAGGCATAGATTAACAGTCCCTTTAAAATATAAAAGAACTAAGCTTGCAAGCTTTTAATTAAACCTAATCACCCTAATTAAAATACCAACCAACAAATAGTATAACTAATACAGTTAGCTTCTAAATAATAACAATAAATGCACTAGGTTATACATATAACTAGTAAAACAGGTTTAGGCAGGAAATGTATTGTAACCACATATGCTTAGCAACTTGTAATCATTAGCTAGAAAATTGCATTTTATGCCTAGGTAACAAGCTGGGAAAATAGATTTTGTATGACCTAATGCTTTTTGAAAATGTATAAAAATGCATAATGATTTGAGCACATTACATTCAGATCTTCACTCTTGAAGTGTGTCTGTCTGTCATTTCTGCACCGAATCCTTGACCACCCTGTTCAGTCTCTCATCCCTGGGTCAGCCTTGCTAATCTACCACTGCGCTGGTCGGCGGCAGGACATGGATTTCTCCTAGCATTTCTCCACTTTTCTCCTCCTGCCCCCTTTACCCTGGCTTCCCTTAAATAAAGAGCATGATAAAAGAAACTACCCTTCATTATCATTATACTTCACACCATCAGAAAAAAAGTAATCTGTTCTAAATCTTCACTGGTTTTTAAGGTCAACATTAAGGGGAGAGGTGTTTACATAAAAACAGGAGAAGCATTCTTATTGTAGGTCTCCAAGGCTTTCAGATGTGTCATGGCAGAAAACAAGCAGATATTGAACTAGCAACTAAAAGTACTTTAAAATTATTATTTAGAGAACTGGATTATTCATCACTGAAAAAATAACAAGCCAGTTCCTCACTATTGATATTTATAAAGTTAGGGACAACTTATATTTGAGTAATAATCAATGCTATAATTACTTACACATTATCTTGCTAAATATTTTACAAATATAGTAGTTTAGAATATACCAATATAATAGTTTAGAATATAGTAGTTTAGAATATACCAATATAAATTAACCTAAAGGTTGAGGAAATTGACACTTACAGATAAAGCTTATGTGATCAAGATAACTCGATTTGAAGACTATAAATTCATTCCAGGAAGACTCTTATTGTCTATGACCCTGTTTGAATTTCTTTCACAGCCATTTAAAAGGCAGAAAAATAGCAATCATTTAACCAAGACAGCATTATCCAATTGAACTACCCAGGCAATTTATTAAATTTTGTCCAAATTCACTTCTGGATGTTTCCAAATCTTAATTCACTCATAGAAGATGAAATTAAGGAACTGAGGAAACTAAGGATCAATGTTTGTAGACAATGAAGACAGTTCTGTAAAGGGATCCGAAAACTGTTTTTGGGCAATAACAATATCATTTGAAAGATAGCAGAGCACTTAGAATTATGGCTACCTTGAGGAGAGCAATGCTTATTTGTAACATAATATGAATCTCTGGCTGAAAAAAAAAACCACTCATAAACCTCAGGCCTTCTGTGTCTTGTATGCACAGGTAATTGGCTATCATTTATTTGTCTATGGCTACAAACAATATTTTAAAAAATATTTTCTGTATGTGATTGGGTATTTATTCAATCACCTTCTAAACCAGACACATAGTACATACAGGATAGCTTAAACGCCCTTGTTTTTCATAAAAAATAAAACACAGTGTTCAAATAGTAACATATTCTAATACTCAAAGCTTTAATTATGGGTCAAAACAGGTACCATCATTTTCCTCTCACGACTATGAATACAAAGGACATCTCATTACTTATAACTCATACATTTTTGAGCAAATACTAATGCAAATCAATACATAACTTTATTTTTAAAAACAACTCTCAACATAAGTATTGAGCAAATAGAGATAATAAAAGCTAGGTGAAAACTCCTGTGTGAGAAATAGAAATATTTCCCTTGGTTTTTTCTAAATTTGTGATTCTCATCATTCATTAGTTTTCTGGCTTTTAATGTTACCTGCAGTCAATCACCCGGCCTTGATGGTAGAAGGAAGTTGGGATGATCTCACCCTGAAGTTGGCCGATACGAGGAGCGCGAGTAAGATTGGTACAGAGTAAAAATCCACAGAACACATCACTGAACATGGGGGGAGAAAAGAAGAAGAACAGGCAGCTCAAAATAATCAAAACTATTCAGCCCACATATGTGCAAAACTTGAAAATACTCTCCTCTCTTCTGAACAAGAACAATTGTTCAGATATTATTCATTGGCGATGACCCTTCCTTGCTAACAAGATCACGGCTTTAGTGTAGCAAGGTACTCAACCCTGAAAGATGGCTCATAGCTGGGGTCTAAGCTAGTTAAGCAGCCCTCTTCCCTACAGCCATTTCTGTAGCCATCTCTGCTCTCCATTCACTTACAGCTAAAGGTGCTCTGGTGTTGGGATGTGAAGAAAAGTCAGCTAAGGAACTGCTGGAGAAAATTTTGCTTTCTGGAAAAAGTTAGAAGCTGACAAGGAGAAGACCTTTTACTTTCACCTGCTTCCTGCCTTTGAATATGGAGCTTTGGCATCTACCTTGCAATCATGAGTTACAAGCATGGGGATGCAAACTCAACATGCTAAGCATTAGAGAACAGAGGGCCACAAACCTTCTACACTGTTGTTAAGTGATCACCCATCATGAGGGCACCTACCTGTAGCCTACTGTTAAATAAACAATGAACTCCTAAAAAATGGGCAAAAACCCAAAATGGCACATCACAAAAAAGGAAACCCATGAAAATGTGCTAAATTCTACTTGTAAACAGGGAAATGCAAATTAAAACCACAAAAATATAGTAGTTCACACTCACTAGAGTAGAAAAATGTAAAAAGTTTGATAATATCAAGTGCTGGTGATCCCAGAGATTCTCAGATAAGTGTTACTGATAGTAGGGTTTACTTGTACAACCATTTTATTTTATTTTTTTTAAAGATTTATTTATTTATGCATACAAGAGCTGCAGTACAGGTCAGAGGTGTGGGGGTAAGAGGATTCACCAGAGACAGAATGGGGAACAGAATAGGCAGATTGACTGATACACACTGCTGAGGGGAACAGCAGGCAAGACAAGAGAGGTCTGCTGCACCATGTGGGTTTTCCCCTGGCTGGCCGGGATCGAACCGCACTGGAGAAGCTGCGGATAGCTTCACAGTGCTGTGCTGAACCCCTTGTGCCACCAAGAAGTCCTTGTACAACCATTGTAAAAAACATCATCTGGCATGACATCATTTGCTGGCACTGAAATCATACATTCCCTAAAATTTAGCAATTTTTTTTGCTAGTTACAGGCCTTAGAAAAACATGTTAAAATGTGCACTAAGTTACATGTGTAAGAATATTTATAGCGTCCTAGTTCCTAACAGTCAATATATAGAAATGGTCTAATATCCCTCAACATGGAATGGAGAAATAAATTATGGTCTGTTTAGAAAGGCAACAAATGAACAATTAAAATAAGCAGCTGTACACACCATGGAAGATTTAAAATACTTAACATAAGAAGCAAAATACAAGAAGAAAATACATATGATTCCTTTTACATAAAATTACCAAAACTTGAGGCAAGCTATACTGTTTAGGGATGAAAACATAGGCAGCAAAACTTTAAAGAAAGCATAAAGGCCAGGTGTTTTGTATCTCCAGAAGAGAGATGGGGTCATGTGAGGAAGGAAGAATCATTTTTGGGGGTGATGGGATGCTCTGTTTCTTGATTCAGATAAGGGTCACGTGGGCATTCACTTCAAAATTACTTGCTCAACTGTACATCTTTATATTATTCACTTTCCTGCTCATGATCATTTCACAACTTTTAAAAGTTTCAAAAACACATATTGACTTTCTTAACTCGTAGGTGACTGGATATTCTGTAACAAGCTATATTTTCCAGTGAACTAATCCAGTGCCACTGAAGTCACAGAGACACAGAGAAATGACCACATTTGTCTAGGATACTGACTTAAGGAATGAAGCTAATCAAATTCAGAAGCATCTGCCCTAATTGTGACAGCTTTAGGTCCCACACCCTCAGACTCCCTGACACCTCAAGTATTAAACATTTAGAAACTTTACTCATGAGATATCACATGGGAAGTTCGTCTCTATTATTGTGACTTTATTTTTTTTATTTAAAGATTTATTTTTATTTATACAAGAGCTGGGGTATAGGCCAGAGTCGCAGGAGGGTGCGAGGATTCACTAGAGACAGAGCGGTTTGCAGAACAGGCAGACTGACTGAGATACACTGCTGAGGGGAACAGTGGTAGAGACAGGAGAGGTCTGCCTCACCATGTGGGAATCTCCCTGGCCAGCCAGGAATCGAACTGATGCTGCGGAGGCTGCAGACAGCTTCACAGTGCTGCGCTCAACCCGCTGCACCACCAGGGAGGCCCAATTGTGGCTTAATTTTAAAGGAGTATAACCAAAAGATTTGTTGCCTACTAAGAATTCACCCATCACCAAAGACTATAATCAGTCCTTAAATAATGTCATTCACTATAACATTGATGAGAAAAAAAATAACCCTTGTGGAAAATGGCCAAAATGATCTATTTGAGGATCTGCTTCTGTTACAATGGCTGTGCTAAAAGTCAAAGTTGCCAACAATTAGGAATGATATCAAGCGACAACTGACTGTGTGTGGAATTGCAATGTTGCATAAAGGACAACACAGAGTTCATAAATTACAGAAATAAAATTCCCCTTAAATCCTTGCTCTGCCACAAAATTGGGAGAAGATTCCTCATTGCTATGGAAGAAAAAAGAGGAGTTTGGGCTTATAATTTAATGGTTCCATAGATGTCAGTAATTGAGTTAACCTCAACAGACTATTAAATTATAATTTTAACTCTCCCCAACTAATCAAAGGAAAACATCACAAATGTGATCACTTAAAGTATCTGATTTCATAAGGAAAGGCACCTCCAATATGCTTGTTAGATGGGGAAGAATATACTTCTGATACAGACATTAGATGTTTAATTACACAATGTTGTTCCCATGAAATAATCAAAAACATACATTATTTCACTTTGAATAATATAACCAAAATGTATTTTTTGTTCATATACATATATATATTGCTTATAAAATTCTATATATATATAGTATTTGTATAGGTCATATTTTCTGGCAAATGTTGAAAGTGTGGTGTATTAATTCATAATAATATTAATTTGTAATAATGTAGTGAAGTATCTTTTCAAAATGTGCATCAGGAAAATACGGGATATGAAAAATTTGCTGAACTTTACAGAAATAGTATTTGTGCTACAGTTAACCATTTAGTCCATAGCTGTTTGCCCTTAGCTACATTAATGTATTTTTAAAACACCTTGAAAATTTAAAATGATGAACATTTATAAAAAATCAGTAACATTCATCCTGAGCTCATTTTGCAGAAGAATCAGGGCTTCCACGTCCATCTCTTCTGCCCCCAAAGCTGCTACTCACTGTTTGCTGCACTGGATCCATCGGTCTCCATCCTTCCCACAATTTCCCTTTTCGGTGCCTTCTGTATTCAGCTTTTCATAACAGAACTTGTCAGACCCTGAAGCCTCTTTTGGAGAAGAGCAAGAGAAGGAAATTAATTTTAGTTCTCTTTGTTATCTCTAACCAATACTATGCAAGTAAGTATCTAATAACTGGTTCTCCAGAAAGAGGGAAAAAATCCTGAATCACAACATTTTCCAATTTCCATGGTATAAATTTCCAGGGTGTGATACACAGCTAATTTTAAGCTATCCATGTGATGTCAATTAGCTTCAAAATTTGCTGAAAATTTAACTTTGGCTCTTGCAAGCTAATACAGTGCTACAGCATAACACTTTTAAATTTGAGAAATAAATGTATCCCCAATTCTTATTAGGGAGTATGAAGGCAGAGGCAGGAATGAGCACCAGAAAACAATGAAGTGATGCTCTAGACAACTACTAGATATTCTTTTTTTTTTAAGTTAAAAAAAATTTTTTTAAAGATTTATTTATTTATACAAGCACTGGGTACAGTCAGAAGCAGGGGAGGGTGAGAGAATTCACCAGAGCCAGGGCGGGGAGCAGAGCAGGCGAAAGGACCCAAGTACACTGCTGAGGGGAGCAGTGGGTGGCAGGAGAGGTCTGTGTGCCATGTGGGATCCTCCTGCATTGGCCAAGGAGCAGCCGGGGATCGAACCTGCACTGCAGAGGCTGAGGGCAGCTTCGCAACCCAGTGCTCAAACGCTGCGTCACCAGGGAGGCCCCTACTAGATATTCTTAATGCTGTTTCATATTCATATTAAGAGAGATCCTATTAAGTCTTTAGCCCACTGAGGTTTTATGTTGGCACTTGGGTTTTGCTATTTCAACCTCTAAAATGACAAATAGGCCTCCATTATCTTTCCTCTACCAAAACTGAAGCTTTAAAATCGAATATTCCAAAAAAAAAAAAAAGAATATAATAAAATGTTCACAGTGATGCTTAAAAAAAAAAAAAAAAAAACAACGAATATTCCAAAATATCACATGGTATCACTTATAGGAGGACTATAAGGAAACCGAAAAAAGTGTCAAAAAAAAAAAAAAAAAAGACAAAACTTGCAAGCTGACCAAAGATCTGAGGCATACAGCTGGTGAGGGAGAGGGAGGGGGATCAAAACAGAGGAGAGAGGAGCACAAGAGACCAGGGTGAGGTATCACAGGTGATGTAGTGGTGGGAGCTTTATTTATGGCAACTACACCTGAGGGGAGAAATCAAATACTGCACAAAAATGAACAAAGATGTAAGAAAATGAAAAAGTTTAATATAAGTAAATAAATTAAAAAAATTAATCTCCCAATTAAATATTTGCCAAATCACTCCTGCAGGGTTCTATTCTCCTTTCTCTGCTGCCTCTTCTTTTGGGGTAGCCCAGCCCACAGCAGACAGACCCATTTCTCTCTCCTCCAGCTGGCCCTGATGAACTGAAGTTCACTGGAAAGCACAGCACATCAGGAACAGAACAGACATTCAGGGCAAGTGCTGAGAATCGTGTACCCTAACCTCTCTCACTGCACCTCCGGAAGGACCTGCATCCTTCACCTCACACTGAGATCGCAAATCACCAATTTGAAAAAGGAAGTCTGAGACTTAAGTCTGATAATTTCCAGGAGTAAAAGAACAGAAAAAGGAACCTGGGGGAGGGGAGGAAACATGAAGTTCAAGGCACAAAGAGGCTGGATGATGAGCAAGGCCCCCGTACTTCATTGATCTTGGGGAGTGGCAAGAACAGCCCTTTCGCTCACAGCTTGATGACAAGTCCCCAGCTTGAGCTGCACTTTCTGTGTTTTTTGTAACTAAGACTCACAGCCTCTGTATTCTCACACACTCCAGATTTTTTTTGAAACACCACTCCAAGCTGTCCATCTCTCTTAGCAAGAGTGGCAGAGAACAATATGAAGGGAAGCATGTGTGACACCAAGCAGGGACATGTGACCTACTTGTTCCCCAGATATATTGGCACTGGTTGTCCCGGGTCTTGCACTCGCCATTGTAGCAGCGGCCCTGAGGACAGAGACACACATCAGGAGCACACCGAGCCAGGTCCATTCCCCCATAATTTTCACTGCAAGGTCTCCTTTCTGTTGTTTTAGAGAAGTTGTTTTTTATTTTTCATTCCATCTCTTAATATTGATATTTTCATAGGGACCAATAGGAATCACAAATATCTTAAGAGAAGTATAACAGGCAATTAAAACCAAAAACTCAGAATAGAGCTCTTGAAACCCAAACTAATGATCTTAAATTTTAAATTTTATAGAAAACAGAAACTGGGACTTCTTTGGGTGATACTAAAGTGATTTTTAGCTTCACTTGTGTGGGATGGGGGTTACAACACCACTACAGGAGAAAAAAAAAAAGCCCACACATTGTTACTGATTTTCATCTTTTGCCATAATGGACATGCTGGAATTATTGAAAGATGGTCACGATTCCAAATTAGATTCATAATTCCTCATCCATCACTACATTTTTTTCTTGCCCTCAATCTGGGCAATTTGTCACTGGAGTTAATATATTTCGTATTTGGTATGACATGAAACAACTCTGAATTAAAAGTCCACCGCAATGACGTACTGTTAGTGGCACTGCAATTTCCCTGCAAAGTTACAGCTATCAAAAAAGAAAAAAAAACTTGCAAACTAATCCCTTTAAAATTACATTCAAAAACTTACAGCCCCAGCATACCTGATTTTGATTGCATGCATATCCGTCTTGCTTATGAAGATTTGGTGGGCACTGAAAAATACAATAGTTAATGTTCAGCATGTTAAATCCCTTCAGGATTTGGACAGAATACATAAAAACACAAAAAGTAAATGCAAGCATGGTGAATATATAATCAGAAATGTTTAGAAAAAAACATGAATAACTTCTTAAGTAGGTTATCTAAATTAATTCTCCTATTGTGGGTAAAAATAAATAAGGTCCATGCAGTGGTGCTTTTCACATTTCCGATTTCCATGAGGTGTACTAGAAGAATAACTTACATTCACTTGCCAACAGTTAAAAGTAGAAGGGATTAAAATGGACAATGAAGGAAATGAATCAGATTGTTATGTAGGAGTGGACACATTCAGGAACTAATTTACAAACCTTGCACGGCCCTGTGAAAATGTAAAATCTGCATTTGACACCCATGAAGCTCCCCCACAGGCCACTTTACTGCAAAGGAAGAAACACCCTGCCTTTCAACTCAGGGCAAGTGTTGTATCTCCATTATATTTTTGACCTCGCAAACTACAGACTTGCTGCTAGGACAACTGTGATGTGATGTTTACTTCTTTTGCCAAGACTCTCTGTCAAATCATTTTCTTTAAGTACACTTCATTCCTGCCCCCTTCAAATTAACCTGAAAAAATTAAAACATTTACTCTCTATGCATTTATTTACTACAATATAGAGAACTTAAAAGAAAAACGTGGAAATCAAAGGCTCTGCTTATGAAAAGGAAAAACAATACACAGGTGTGTGGCAAGTGAATAAGAAACACAAAAGTACGAGCCAAGGCCTTCTTGATTCCACTCTTCCCAAACCATTATCCTAGTCTGTCAACAAACACCATTAGGTCTGTCTTCAAAATACAATCAAAATCTGATCAGACCACGTTTCTCCATCTCCACTACTAATGCCCAGTCCCATCCACCACTCTCTCTCGCCTGGAATACACGACAGTTTCCAACAGTCCGCCAGCCTCCAACCTAGTCCCCTTATAATCGAGAGCTACCAGAGTGTCCCCTCAAACATGTAAACCAGATCATGTCACTCCTAGTTCAGTGGTCCCCAATTTGCTCCCTGATGTCCAAGTTCAACATGACAGCTCCTGTGCTGCCCTCTTCCCCTCTTGGACCTCACTCCTGCTTCCAGCCACAACTGATCGGACCCTAGTGAAGGTGCCAGGCAGGCTGGCATCTCATGACCTTTGGCCCAGCTCTTCCTTCAATTTCCCCCAGATTTTCTATGTCACTTGCTCTCTCACTGTCTTTTGGATATTGTTCAAATAGCAGCATCTCAGAGAGACCTTCTCCAACCATGTCCAACACCAGGAACCCCTCCCATGCTGGCATCCTCTGCTGCCCAACTGACCACCAACTGATGGGTCATGTATTTTACTTGTTTGTTTGGCGTCCCCATCATAATGTGATGTAGGCAGAGAATTTATGTTTTGTCCCCCGCTGCCTTCCTGCCACCTAGGCTCCCTTATTACTGAGTAGGTACTCAATTACTTTTGACTGACTTAGAAAATAAATGAATGACCCACACAGATACAATTCAGTTATTCTATTCTATACATATCAAGCTGTTAACCAAGCTCACTACAGAAAAATAATAATAGAACTAATTTGGAATTGCTAAGAAACAGTAACTTACAAAGGAGCACTTTGAGATAGCGTTCTACCTCTTTCTAAATAATAACTCTCATATAAGCTTTCAATTGCCAGAACTTTTCATTCAACCTGAGAGAGACTGTTCAAATGATTGTAATTATCAACACTAAACCTGGCACACTAAGCCAGCTGTACAAAAACTTAAGAACCCTGTGGCCTCTTTCATCCATTGGAATGCACTCAAAATATAATCGTTATCTTATTAATCAACTCACAATAATTATTCACTTATCCCCAAACACAGCCACATTAAAAAAATAATGCAGAAGAAATGTTTCTATTAGAAAAGGCAAATCAGGGTCTAAAATTAACTTTTGTGTGTTTCAATAGGAAAAAAACTTAGAGAATTCTTCACTAATGAAAAAAAAAACGCAGTTATTATAAACTGTCAAAGCCACACGCAAGATTTCTAATCAGTGTATTGTTAGTTTAGGCTAATAAAAGCCAGTTGCTTATCACTGAAAAGTTAAACAAGGGAAATTATGGAATGTCTTACATTCTCTGGAGACATTTATAAATCTGTGTACTTTATTTTGCCTGTGGGTAAGGCTCTGGGTTTAGTTTCTAAATATCATTCCAGACCTCAGTTTTATGCCCTACAGAAAGGTTCACTTGAGGCAGCCTTCTAAGTGCAGTAGCATATAAATGTGTTTATTTTAAGTTGTGTTATACCACCCATTTAGATGACATATTTCATAGTGCTAACACAAAGCATTCCCACATCTTTCAAAAATATCTTTATCATACCATCCAGTATTGTTGCCAAAGATTTTTCTCAGTTGCTTAAGTATTATTTATTTTGTTATAAATTGTGAATTTTAAAAGTAGCTCAAGAGGTATCAGTAAATGCTAAGATCAAACTTTAGCAAAAATGTACTACAGAATAAAAGAGATGAAGTCATAATACTGGTTGTAGGTACTGCTTTTCAGACATACCATTTCCTTGATCTTATTAGTATCAATTATTTTCAAATTTCCCTGCTTTTTACAAAGCAGAAGAATTTAAAGGGAGTTTAATTCTCTCTATTCCAATTATATATTTCAGTTTCATTCCAGCCATATGAGGAAATCATCAGTAAAAGAACATGCTATTCTAATATGCCAATGAGAAATTAATTTAATAGTATAATTCTCACCTTGGACATATGAGATAATAACGTTTTTTAAATTTAGACAATAGACTATTAGGTTGAACATAGAACCCTCATTATAAAAGCCTTATTTCCAATAAATTCTATGACAATTCCAGAGTTGTAGGCTGAGATGGAAAAACAATACTTCTAAAAGAGTTGAATGTACAGAACCAAAAACCATACATTGTGGGTAAGGAAATAGTATTCAGGTACTCTCTGCTTCTTTACTCACTTCCTCTTCAGGCAGCTGGAGTGACTGGTTGGTTGATTTGATTGATTGATAAACTTGGGAAGAACAACCGGTCACTTTGGCTCAGTTCTGCCATTCTACTTTTACTTATTTATTTTCTTTCAATACTTTTTTATTGAGTTAATATTGGTCTGCATCATTGATTGCATTAGGAGTGTAGGATCCACCCACCAGGTGTTGTTGCTAGGGTGCACTCACCAACAAACAACCCACGGTCCACCACTATAGACTTTGCATTCTACTATTATCTACTTGTATTGATCATACCCACTGCTCCTGTAGATCATTTGCAGGGAGAGTTCATTCCACAGACAATTTTGTCAATAAGTTGTTGCTACAGCCAGAATCTCACAATCTATATAAAAACCCATTGATGACACTAAGCTATAGCTTTCAACTTGTCCCATTTTCAATAATAAATAAAATAATAAAAATTATATTTTAGTCTCCAACTGTACCCTATTAGGAGTCCCCTGGAAACTACAATACCTAGCAGTAGGGAAGGCCACCTCTGGAAACTTATCCTAAGGAACTACTGGTGCACAAGAAACATACTTAAAATGCATGCACATGTTGCATGTCATATTCATTATAATAATAAAAAATTCCAACTATCTAAATATCTACCACCAGATAGACGCCAACAGATAAATCCATGTGACAGAGCCTATGCAATCATAAAAAGGATATTTACAAAACGGTGTAATCTTATGGGAAAATGCTTTCAAGCATTCTGACAGAAAGGAAATGATGGTGGAATAAAAGAAAAAATTCTTACCAAGTCCTTAGCTGCTCTGATTACTGACCTCTTCTTCGAAGCTTTTCAATTATTCTCCAGCTATCCCCAGTTTTCATACCGTTTTTTAAAGAGGTCAAACTTTTATACTCACTGTTTTCTTACTATCTCTTCTCATTTATGTTTCTACTTGAATGCAAACTCCTCCAGGATGATATACCTGATTGCTCCCCCAAACCTTCCCAAACCATCACTCTTTTCAAATCAACTATTTTGTGCTTAGCACTTTGCGTGATCTGATATTTGTGTTCATTGATTTACCTTTCTCCACCCAGGAGAATATATGTTCCCTAAGAGCAACGGCTTGCCTATCTGGTTCCCACCCATACGTCAACATTTACGGTAGTACATGACAAAGTGTTCACTTGAATGACAAAGATATGAAATAATATGACTTGTTTTAAAAAATAAAAATTATATAAGGAGTTTTATACATAATATCTAATATTAATGTATGCCTACATTAATCATGGTGGTATAAAATTTTAATATGAAGAGGACAATGCCAAGGAGTATAAGCCATGATGACAGGGCTATGTGAATGGGGGGGGGGAGCTGGTGACAGCTGAGACAGCTGGACTTCTGTTCCCAGTGCCACTTTCACCAGAGCAGTGCTACTGGTTCCCTGCTTTCTACATTGGGCAACCATCCACATTTTTCTCAAAAGAAAGGGTTTTGTGGCTTAAAATGTTTGGAAACAGTAAGCAGTACTTCATCAGTGTGAATGTACTATTTTAGATGTGGGGGAAGGGGGAAAATCAATTCATTCTGTATAAACCACTTAAAGGGAATTAACTGTGAAGGGAAAATTGGAAGAAAAAGACATTAATGTCTGAAAAATACAACATATATTCCTAAAATAAAGGGACGATGAAGAACTAGAAATTACTAGAAAACAAAGTAAAATAAAAACAACAAAAAAAGGAACCAAAACATATCTACATATGGGAGATAAGTAGATATGTACATATCTACATTTGGATGTAGTCCAAATTAAAAGATTTAAAATATGTAGTTACAAGTAAAATGTATTACCTAAAAACTCAAGTTTTTTTACCTGGCCAGAGTCTCCAGTACAATATTCAGTAATATCACACCCATTCACAGCATCCCGACATTCATACCCTCGTGGCTGAAACTGAAAATCAAAATTCACGTGAGTTACGAGCTAGTATTAATATTTCAAAGAATTAGCATTCTTAAATTCACCAACAATCCTTACAATCTCTTATAATGATCACCAAACTCATTATTTAGCAAGATAGTTGCAAAGTAGAGACAAGGTCCAGCTACCACTCCCTGTAATATAATGAATCATCATCCATTGTATCAAATATTCAGATTTCAAAATCCATGTCTCCAAGTTTTATTTTTGAAAAACAACATGATGGAAATTATCTAAAGAATAAACACTGGTGTCACTTAAAAACAAAAGAGCAAAACATTATATATGTTTACATATAAATATAAATACAGAGAGTTGTATGTCATATATAGAGATCTCTCTTAAGATTGATGTGGCACACACCCAACTTCCACTAATTTACTATCAGTTTGGACATTAATCTTGCTTTAGTAAAGAATACATGATCAAATTTAATGAATTTATGTGAATTCTCTTCAGTAACACCAATGATGCTTACTGTATACTTGGCATTTTGTCTTATCTGGAAGGTGGGGGATGAAAATTGAAAGAAAGAACCCATTACCTTTGAGCAATCTGTAATCTGATGGAGGGTATAAGGCAAGTATAAACCAAGCTAGAATCTTCTAGAATAACATAATAGGTAATACCCCTTGATATTGAAGAAAATAATAAAATCATGTAAGCTTGAGCCATAGGGAAATTAAAGGTTTTATTGGTAAGTAAAAATATGATTAAAAAATGACTTTTTAGAAATTAGCTGAAGTCTCTATAGATGGAATTAACTCTCTGCTCATATACATACAAGCTGTGTATGTAAACATATATACATATATTACTTCTTTATCTAGTTTTCTACCCTTTTAAGGAATTTTAAAAGCCAAATGTGAAAATATGAGAACTAGCTTTTATGCTCCAACTCTAAAACAAACTAGGGTACATTTTAAATAAGAAGTGTTAGAATTAGGTCATATTATTTAAAAGACCACATAAATTGCCCATCTTCTAGTCAATCATTTAATCTGTCTTTCATCCATCCATGTGAATAGGGCAAGTCTCAATATTTACTTTGGAAGGAGTTCAGATACATTTTCTCAAGGGGGCATTGGAGGATAGAGTAGTTGATAATGAATGAGAGTGAAGGTAAATGATGTGACCCACAGGATTTGGGTGGATTTATTATGTATACTATCAGCCAACAAATTTGTGACAATCTACACCAATGACCAATGCATGTTTTGAGATATTTGGCTGATATGTAAATGAAGAGAAAGATGAAACTGTCAGGAAACTCACGAGACATGAGGTATTGTTACAGCAAGGCCCATCGCTGCAGTGGGCTCCATTGGAGAGAGAACACTTCTTACAGCACAAGCCATAGCACTCCTAGAGAAAACACTTCCTGTGAGTCAATGCAGACGATCATCCACCAGTCATTCAACACTGTCTCCACATATGATTATGCAGAACCCAGTTGAGATTTACACAACAGTAAGCAAATACTTTAGGAGCAAATGCATCACTTTAAACAATGATAGATCCCTTCCTGCATATTTGCAGGAAACTATAATTTTCTATGAAAAGGCTTCTCTAACAAGAAAGAAAGTTTATTTCTTAGCAGACACCCCACCTCTGGGCAGCTCTATTATATTCTTAATATTCAATCTCGTTTTATGCGATAAAAGTAATATACAATGGAGAAAGTACATTTCATGATTTGGTAAAACTTGTCTGAGAGGAATATGAGCTATGAATTGTTAAGAAGTAGGGAATTTAATTAGAGGAATTCATTAGGTTTTTTTCAAATAAGGCTATAAGGACATGATTTATTCTCACATGTCTAAATTGGGATTAAGCATTAACGAAAGCAATCAGAAAGAAAGGCAGTAAGACTATAGTGAATGGTCATGCAGGCTTCTCACCTAAAGCCATTCTGGTTTGCTTTAGGCAGGAGCTGTGCTGAAGGTAGAAAAGAGCTTATACCTACCACATGGAAACCACAATCACATTCCTCCCCAGCTTCTACATATCCATTTCCACATTCCGTAGGCTCAAATAGCTGAAAGAAATGTGGGTGGGAAAAGAAAAATGTTTTATTTATTTTAAATTTTTTTTATTTATGCATACAAGAACTGGGGTACAGGTCAAAAGTGTTGAGGGTAAAAGGATGCACCACAGAGTGGGGAACAGAACAGGCATTTTGACTGAAATACACTGCTGAGGAGAGCAGCAGGCAAGTCAAGAGAGGTCTGCTGCACCATGTGGGTCACTTCCCTGGCTGGGGATTGAACTCTTGCTGCAGTGGCTGCTGATAGCTTCATAGTGTTGAAACTTAATCCCCTGAACCACCAGGGAGGCCCTGGGAAAATGTTTTAATAGCAAAAAAAGCCATGCAGCAATTAGGCTACATACATGGCCCTGTGATCAGCTACTCTGTGATACTCTTCTGTGCTTTGTTGTTATCTTATAAATGATGTCAGTGTTGGCAACATGTGTCAGTTATTTATAACACTTCTAAAAAGCAACTTTGAAAGTGGCAATATCCCTTGGAGGATCGTGGGTGGTGTGCTCCAGAGATGACTTCTACTCTGAGTTACTTTTTATGGAGATAAGTTGTCAAGAGGAATAGATCACTTTTCATATTTGCTAATGGAGCTAAAATGCATTGCTAATAACATTCAGCGAGATCTAATATGCTGACTTCCCTCAAGGCAGCTGAGAAGACATAAAAATTGTCAAAAATATAAAAATGTTTCAGTTTCTACCCAATGAGATACATACAATCAAGCAAATGCTAGTAGTACACATAAAAAAAATTGCTGGGAATTCATGCCCATAATTCTCACTGAAAGAAATCCACACTGTCCACACTTCTCACACTTCACACTTGCCGTTAAGCAAATGTGCAGACACATACACAGATGTAGAAAAATTGTTCAATCATACCTGGAGCAATGGAAGAGTCAGATTTCTAGAATAACCCACCCTACTGGTGCTTTGAACTTGCCTATCAGATAAACTACATAGCAGAATAATCATATTAATTATGCTCATAATTACTTATAAGAAACATTTCTACATCCCATCACTTAGGGTGAGATTTCTTTGTCCACCACAACTGGGGGAAGGATGGACGAGCACAACCTACCCCACGTGGGTTCAGAGAGGGAGGAGATGCCTTCCCCAGCAGCAGCACATACCTAAGGAAGGGGGTCCTCCCCTGAACCCACGTCAGAAAGACCTAGTCCTCTCCCCCCCTCTCAGGAGGGGGAAACTGTTATAAGAAGAAAGGAAGGTTTCCAAATAGAGGGTGGGATTACCCCATGGAAAAAGATCAATGAGTGACATCAACAGTCCTAATGTCTGTTGAAATGAAAGGGGGAAGAGCAGACTGGAGCCAGACCAGTGCTTTATCTCAGGCCCCCCATGGAACTATCTCCATATTTTGGACTCTTCCCACCTGAGAAAGGTCACTCTCACAAACCAGATGGAAAACAGGGCAGATGGTTCCCACAGCAGAGAAAAGATGTACATGGAAAAGAGAGACACACACAAGACACATTCATTCATTGACCAAAAATATTTGAAATAAAAGTTCATTGAAATATATACACTATTTCACTGGAATCGACAGGGGCTTTTTAAAAAATCATTCTAAGATGCAGGTTAAAGAGAAATAATTTCATATTTACCAATTTTTAAAATGAATGTATAGTTATTTTTATTTAGCTCCCAAGATATTAGAATAATTTTATTTCTACTCACAGGCAATTTTAGAAATCTAGGGATGGATCCTTACACACACACACTAGAAACCTTAACCTTTCCAAACAGCTTGGTGCTGTTCCCTCAGGCGTAATGCTTATAATTAGCCAGTGAGCTGGAAGGCAGGTAAAATTAGCCACGTACATTATAACTCAAAAATGCTAGCGGCTCACATGACTTCATTATTACTCATTTCACCCATTTTAAACACTCTGAAGCTTTTAGATTTTTATTGCATTGAGATCAACTCCACCAAAAGCAGCCAGCCAGCCAAGTTTAATGATGCAAGGTCACTTTAAAATACTGTTTCTTTTTCTGCCGCCTTACTGAGATGTTACACAGATGTCAAGCATTAAACTACCACTCTCTGACCACAGCAGTTATCACTGAATTATGGGGATAGGAATAAATGCTGCTGTCAGTTATCTACATTAGTCAATTTTTGTTTTTAAAAAGCTAATGTTTTATTCACAGTTTGTTAATTTGCAGAGCATTAAACATCTTGTAGAGCAATGGACTACATTTCATTTATAAAGTAGCATTTTAAAAGGAAACATGAAATGTGCAATGTTAGAATTTCTATGCCACTTGCTAATTAGCCCTCATCTTGTTTTTTTGTCTGCTAAGCAACTTCATTTCCAAACATGCTATGTAGGTTCACAGGGCCTTATCCCAAAGTGAGTTTGAGGATTATGGTTTCTAAAAATAAATGATGCATTTACTACATTCTATAATAGCCCTGAGGGGCCTGGTATATATTCTATAATCAAACACATTAATGTCTCTGCAGTAAGAGAAATATTTACACTGAGAAGGATAAATACTGGTTTTCAATTTAGGACAAGTTTTACTATACAATATGTCTTCTGCAAACTCATAAAAACACTTCCCATTTTCACAGTTTTCTGAATGAAGGAACAAGGGAGTGTGACACTGTATACATGAATTTTGATATAATGTCAATAGACAATATGGATCTTACGGATAAAGACACTATAGACTATAAATGCATGCATGTTTTTATGGGATTCATAAGTACCTTGGGCCATATTTTGGTTAGGTGACATTAGTAAGGCTTCTTTTTTGGGAAAATAGACACAAAAATAAAACATACAAAAGCCAAGAAAATAGTTGTACCTCTAGAAAGGACATCAAGGGAAATGAAATGTTTGTCTAAGAAATGGTTAAAGTAATATATTTTAATAACCCACTATCTCTTAGCAGCAGGGGAACACTAACATGAAAATTTCAAAGACATTTTAACTGAAAAGTTGTTTTTCTGGCGAGGGTTTCTGGGAATATGTACAACTACTACTGAAAAACCAGAAATTCAGAACAGAGAAACTATGGTTTTTTCATTCACTTAAACAAGACTCAGTTTTCACATGATAAGGCTTTTGAAACTAAATATTAATATTTTGACAATAAACCTGTTCCAAAACTATCTGGCACCATTCCAGTGTTCAAAAAAAAAAAGGGAGGGGGAGGATAATTATACTTTCTGAGTTACTAACCTTTGTTGGCCTGTTGAAAAGACAGGCTCCACCCCCTCTCTGTAAAAAATCTCTGTATTCCAAAATGCTGCACTTTGAGAACTTTCGGGAATGGGATACCCTGAGGAAATAAAAAATCAATTATGTAAGTAATTTACCAAAAGCAGTCATCAGAGAAGAAAATTAAAACCCTTGAATCAGAACAAAATGTTCACTCTGGATCCAGATGATTCTACACAAATTTTGACAAGGCACTTATGTTCAAATTTCCAAATAAGAATGTGTCGTAGACTTGGTAAAAATAGCAAGTCAAAAAAAGTCACAGATTTGAGGGCTAGTTGAAAGCTCCTTAGCAGTGAAGCCCTTTTGAACCCAAGCTTGAAAGAGGTTTTGAAAAGCTCCTTACAAATTTCTTCATCTAGGTTGTCTTCTAAAATGTGGACATTTTTATTTGCTGTGTCTCGGTAAACGCAAGCACTTTTGCCTCTGTCCTGAATAATGGAGCTCAGGAATCTATGAGATTTCAGTTTGTGAGGGTCAGTGTATCAAAGATTATATAATGCGGACTCCAGCCATGCAATCCAGGTAAACAAGGAAGCTCTAAAGAGATGTGCTAGGCCATATAGATAAATACATTTTTAGCAGAACAAAACCCAGCAAAAACAGAATTAGGGCAAACTCATTAGGGAAGTCTCAACTTCAATGACGATCCTGTGATATTATGATTTAGTAGGCATACAATACGAGTCTCTGTGATTGAATTAGTCAAATTATCTGTATAAAGGGACAAAATACACAAGGTCAGGGCCTGAAGTACATACACTGATGGCTTGGCCATATTTGTAATAGTACTTGATTTGAGAGTGACAAGCTTTTGGTTCCAGTACATTATCTAATACTTTTGTGTGTCCTGATGTATAAGGTAATGTATGGAAGTAGGTAAACTCTGCCATCGTGGGCACTGACTATCAGAACTGTGTAGAAATATGTCCTTGAGAAAACACATATTAACTTTAGTGGGTAATCAGTCAAAAACTTCATTTAGAAATCAGTTTAGAAGACATTTAGAAGACATTTCCTTATCAAATCTATATTACAAAAGGTGTCGCCTGCCTAGAAGATTCCTCAAAAAAGTCATAATGTCACTAAACTATGGTACAATAGTAAGGAGACCTGAAAGTTACCAATTTCAAGTTGAACCTACATTTTTTAGAAGCTCGTGTTCTAAAGTAGCATGCATAATGGCTGACTCGTCCTACTTTTTTCTCCATGAGCTAGACTCTTGGTAGCAGAATAAGAAAGGACTCTGTGCAAGCAGATCACAGTTTTTGGCAAGTGGAGCTCATAGGAATAGAGGGGACTGATAAGATGTCTGGCGTGGATGAAGGAAGCATGGGTAGACCTCTCCCATGTACTGGTGTTGGGGAAGGGGCTCACATGGAGCAAGGGTCATGGCGACATTTCTAGGTCTTGGGTGACAGAAGCAACGAAGCTCAGGGGCAGCTGCTTTGGCTCCCAAAGTATCCAAAAAGAAGAGAAGAGGCAGATGAGAAGATAGATATTCAAAGTCTACCAGCAAGAGGCTACCTAATTTAGATACAATAAATCTGCCTTAATAAAAAAAGCTTTATTGATGGGTTAAGCAGTACAGTATGATTTTATTACAGTAAACATGTCTATTTACGATTACCTTAAAATATAAATTGTGCACTAAATTGATTTTTGCTGACTGCTTCAGGTAGACAACCAGCTTTTATTCTAAGTGTACTAAAAAATTAATGCCGCTACTAAACTTAGAAGCACTTAATAATGTGCTTCCCTTAGGGTTAATAGAAATAGAAGTGTTACTATATTTTAGTCTTATCAATAACTTTAAATAAAAAATTAACATATACAGTGAATTAGTCCTTTCATTTTAAAAATATCAGCTAATCAATTATTGAATTTATATTAAGTGCTTAACCTGAAAGATCAGTCAATACTTGCGAAACTGCACATCTACTACAATAGAAGCAATTCCAGCAAAAAGGTGCACATCAAATACATGTATAATGAAAATTTACCCTGTTTCCTCCATGATGCAGCCACCCCAGGATTCTGTGCAGTCACATTCTAAAAACAATTTAAAAAAAAAAAAAAAGAAAAGGAAAAGAAAAAAGGTCACATTACAGCTTTTGAAATGATTCCTTATTACCAATTTCAAGTCAAGCAGATACAGAATATGAAATCTCACTGAACATCTATTTCTTTGACATCAATATTTCTATATCCTTTCCGAAGGCAACGGCAAGAAATAAAATTGTGACTCCCTTCATTTTTGAAACTGAGAGAACTCAGTTAAGATCCCAGTTCCATTGTTTCATGAAAAGTACCCTGATCCAGAATCAGAAGGCCCGAGTTCTACCTAACAAGAGAGTCCTACAGGCGAGAGACTTAGCATTGGGTGTCTTGGTGATTCCACTTCTAAAAGGGGGAATTCAGGTCTCTGCCTATCTCCCAGCTGGGCTGCTGGGTTCACACAAGATGGTATGGTCTGTGCTTTCTAGGAATATAAACTTGTACTGCACAAATGCCATGGTCCTCGCTGAAGTCCTGCTCACACAACACACTTAGGTTAGAGGAGAGGATTCGATTTGCTAGTCAGAATAGGATCGACCAAAGACTTGAAGAGAGCTGTGCTAAAGGAACACTGGATGGAGGAGAGCAGTCAGTCAGAAGTGTACATGCCAGCTGAAATTAAATAACAATCACAAAGTTAACACAGATACCGGAGACTGACATACTGGAATCGCCACGGGCTGTTCTTTTCATTTATTTTTTCTTATTCTCTTTTCTGCCATTGATATAATAAGTATTTTTAAAAACAGTCTTCCAGGGCCTCCCTGGTGGTGCAGGGGTTAAGACGCAACCTATGAAGCAATCCACAGCCACTGCAGCACGAGTTCGATTCCCAGCCAGCCAGGGAGAAACTCACATGGCGGGACAGACCTCTTCTGTCTCACCCGCTGCTCCCCTCAGCAATGCACTTCGGTCCATCTGCCTGTTTTGTTCCCCACTCTGTCTCTGGTGAATCCTCTCACCCCCCCGCATATCTGGCCTGTACCCCAATTCTTGCATAAAAATAAATCTTTAAAAAAAAAACCAGTCTTCCAATTGAACTTTTTAAAAACTCAAAAGTTCAGAAGATACTATTTAGCTAAACAAACATAAGAGAATAGAGAGTTTCAGGAAAGTAGGAACTACAGCCTGCTTCTCACCCTAGTCCATCGTCAGCTCAGTAGCCTCTGTCAGCTGACCCCAGCATGACCTCTTCCCAGCTCCAAGATTTTCAAAGTCACCAATCTGGTCCTACTCCCTTCTGATGCTGAAGGCATCTACACCAGCTGATGAGCCCCAAACACCCAAAACATCTCCTTCAATGTATGATGTGTGTTTCCTTGGGAAAGCCATGCTCTGAGCATTTATATTATATTATATTATATATTATATTATATTATATTATATTATATTATATTATATTATATTATATTATATTATATTATATTATATTATATTATGATATTAAGAAATGAAAGTCTATGGGGATTTGTTATATGTCACAGGACTTAATATACCCTTAAAATGATAACTTAATATGCCCAAAAAGAGAACTGAGAAGCCTCTGGATCTGTATTCTGTTTCATGCGTCCATAATACGAAGCATTAATGACAACTATTTAACAGCAGTTAAAATGTAGGTAGCTATGTCCTCTTCTTCTTTGGGATGAGGACCTTTCCTCCTAGCATCTGATTGTTTCAGAGAGGAGCAGAATTCCATTTAATTCCTAGTTCAGAGAAGAATGTTATCCATAGTAAATACCTCACTCCTTCATTCAGTGGGATCACATTCAGGCTTTTGTGGGCCCTGGGTACTTTTGTCTCCCGAAAAGCTTTAGAGGTTGTATTTTATTATTGTGTTGGCATAAAGAGAATATAATTCAGGTTGGGTTTTATTCTCATTTTAAAAGAAATTTAAAATGTTCATGGACCTCCCTCCCCCCAAAACTAGTGTGGGCCACTGAAAATCAGCCCCCTTTCTGTCTGCTCTCATCTGACTGACTAGGCTCAGTGCACAGCAGCTAGTGGCTTCACCTTCCAGCTGCACGGGATCTATTGCTCTGGCTGTATCCCGCCTGTACCGGCTTGCCCTCTAGAGGCAAGCGCAACCTTCTATCACCTGCCCCCTGCTTAAAAGGTCCTGGGCAAGCCTGCCTTAGGGGAGACCACTCTGACTCTTGTGATGGGGCTAGCGGTAAGTTTAGAAGGAGGGAGGTAAGTTTAGAGTATAAGCTCCCTTGGCTGCAGATTGAAGCTATTTCCCCATCCAGCTGCACTATTAGTAAACTTGCGATGGCATCTTACCTGGCATCTTATGTCTATACGCCACTGGTTAGAACTTGGGTGGCAAAGATTTCACCACCCAAAACCACACCATTCTGCAGTGTGAGGAAAAACTAATCACAATCTGAGAAAAGGAGTATGACTTTTATGGATTTTAAAAGGAACATCTCTACAACTCAAATAGATCAGGAGTTACTTTAAGTTAATAATTAGAAAAAGGAACAATGAAACCATCATGACATTGTAGGAATAAAAAATATTCACTTATCGACCGGACATGCATCATACAGACAGAATGGCACAGGAAAGTGAGCAAGAAGGTCAATGTACATACTTGGTTTTCTGCTAGAAGGTTCCCATTGGATTCCAAGGTTTTGAGCCAGGCTCTGCGATAATACTTGTGCCACTGCCATTGGAAGACCATACTGTTTTTCAGAGTTGAAAGTGTGTGGGAGACATTTGAGAGAGTGCACAAAGCTAGTTATTATTTCTTAATCATTACCACATATCATCTCAGCTCCCTAAGAGCCTCCCAGCATCTAAAGATGACATTTGCTCCTTACCACTTCTCCCTGGCAATTGGGCCCAAGAAGCAGAAAGCCTCTCTTACTCTGTGGCACCTCTCAGAACTTGATGAACTCACATGGAAACATAAAGTACATGTCCTAAGGGTGGCGCTCCAATTCAACTCACAGTCAACCAAGAATAGGTACAAATTACTACAAAGATGTCATGAGAGGTAACCATTGAATGATGACTTTAGTAGAATAACCTGGTAGCACATATTCTGGTACTCACTAGGGTCTAGATATAGTTGTTTTAGGTGTTTGGGCACTCCTGCCAACTGTTATAAGAATTCCCTTTATAAAAATGAAGTTATCAAAATTAAAACCATGAGATTAAGGAACTATTCATTTCAATCAGTTCGACAGAGAGGTGGTAGGAGGCATAAAGATGAAAAACTTACATGTGGTGAAATAAAGACACTAATTAGATAGAATCATAAACATGAATTTAAATATAGGCAGAAGTTACATAACTTTAAAAAATGTTCTATGGGAAGGATTCATAAGTTTACAGAAATCTACAGAGGCTAAAAAAATCTCTGGGCTAATCTTCGGTTTGCATTTGCCTGATAAATTGAAAAATTATCATTATGAAATGAAACAATAATTCTTTTCTAACAACAAAGGCCACTTTGGGTTCTATTTACCAATATATATATGCCCCTCACGCTATCTCCTTGGTGGCATTATCATTCTAACCAGCCTGAAAAGGGATTTAAACTGAGCCATAGGAAAGAAAGATCAGATGCGAAGACAAAGCTCTACTTTAAGAAAATTGATAAAATTTACCTCATTCACACCAACTCCCCTTGTGCGAGAACAGACACCTCCAAAGTAGCTCAGGCTGCTTCTTTTATAGTGGAATGTCATACGCCTTGAGGAAAAAAAAATGCTATTTGGAAATCAATGTACTGGCCATCACATAAACTCTCCCCAAATATGTCTCTTCCCCTACACTGAATACCTCAAGTCCATTCCCCTTCCCAAAATAAAACACTGTATGTATTTTAAAGACCTGTAAATTTATGTTATTAAATTTATCACAAATATCCATGCATTTACATTATGTTAAATTATCTCAGTTGAGCAAACGTAGCATCTATTAAGCATCCCGTACTGGCCATAATTGAGAACACAAGGATAAACAAATCACAGTCCTTAACTTTTTTTTCCTAGTAGAGAATATCAAGTAGTTATACAAAATATTGTTATTATAAACTGCCAATTAAAAACTGACAAGAAAAAAAGGACAATTAAAGGAAAAGTAAGAGGGATACTTGTTGATTTGAGCACAGAACTCTCTAAAAGCAGTGGGGAAAGGAAAAACTTCCATCAGATGAAAGCATCCTTTCCTTCATGGTAAAATCTTCCTTTTATTTAATGTTTCATTTTAAAAAGACTTTAACTCCTATCCTCTCTTGCAGCTGTGGCCCTATGACGTAAAATATATATAAAATTTTAAAAGGGGGGGTCCAGCCGAAGCCTATGAGCACATACGTGATGAGGTGCACAGCGTCCGCGTGCTGTTTGATACGCTGCCGGTATTTGGAGAAATCATGGAGCATCTGCACAGGGTTGGTGGTGATGTCAATATGATCCTTCTCAGTCCAGGTCTCTACAGCTACCAGGACAACCCTGGTATTGAGCTGCTCCTTGTAAATCTGAGGGTATACAACAGGACAGGCGCAGGAGGAAAACACTGGGTCAAACATGTACAGTCAGTGATTCAGAGTCAGCAGGAGGATGAGAGGGGAGGTGACAGGAGAACACGAGGTAATAATTAGCTCAACATACAGAATCTTCTTTTCCTTTCTAAGAGCAAAAATGAATAAAGAACACATGCAAAATTCAGCCTTATGTCACCTACTCCTCTACAAGTTTATTTCAATTCCAGGCCAGCATATTTAGTGGCTTGGCATCTCACTCTGGAACAGAGAGCAGGAGTGCCAAGATTCTGAAGTCTGGACATAAATGCAAAAGAGGGTTCAGCAAAAATCACCCTTCCAAACCTCACAGGAGGTAGTCGGTTGGACTATTTGAGTAAGTATATAACTCGATCAGTTACTCCTTCAGGATTGGAATAAATCACTAAATCCTTAAAAAGGCATCAACATGGTTGGCTTGCTCTTGGAGGTCTTGCTACAGGTAATGTAAAATAACAACAGCAGGAAATTACAGTGAGGATTTATAGCAAAACTCTCACCTCACCACAAGGTGGCAGCACCCACAATATTAAAGCATCAATTCTCCTTTTCTCTCCTTTTAGTTTCCTCACTAAATAATTCACACAGTTAAACAACTTCAATGAATGTTGCCATTCTGTCCTATTTTCAAGCTAATTAAGTAATGAATGATTTTCAACACACTAAAAAGAGGGAATATCATTACACCTAAGTCAACCTGAAGTTATAATGATTTACAAGGAGTGAGTTAAATGCAGTCTTTTAAAAATTAGTGGGTCAGTGTCAAACCTTGTATGATAACCCAAAATAAAAATGACACTTTGCAAAATGTGATTCAACTGTGGCGAAATGACTAAAACAGAAATGCTACCAAGTAAATGGATTTTGCAAGGGTGGAAGATGTGTTTAATATTCTCATATCTATGTTTGCTTAATAGTTGTCCTCTGAGAAGACTGACAAGTGCTAAATTAAAGGAAATGAATGCACCTGTTGTAAGGTGTCTTTTAGAATTTCCTTCCTAGCTCTGTCTACTCTTTATACCCATCTACCCACACTATATTCATTCACTATACCTACCAAGCATTTTATGAGTATTGACATGATTAGTGTTTTTGGACTGCTTAAAAGGCAAAAGAGAAAGTAGTTCCTTGCAGAAAATAAGTATTTAGATATTTAGCAATTTATACAGTTTTTTTCCATTAAGAGGGAACACACAGTAAGTATCAGACAAAAAAATACATTTAGCCAAACAAAAGTGTCCTTTGTATTAGGATACAAAGTAATTTGCTATATTTAGTTTATGACTAGTCAAATAGATTTACTGGAATATAACAAATAATATTCATTTTTATGGAATTCTGACCTAAAGCAGGAAAAAAGAAGAAAGTCTCAAATCATTTTCGGTAACTTACAAAATGAGAAAAATGTTGACATGAAAGATTTGTAGAAGCCTTTGTGAGAAGATATATATTTTATTGTATTAAATGAGTTTTATTTGGGAGCTGAACCTCATTCTGTCATCTAGAAATAATACCTGAAGCTTTACACTAATAGGAATACATGAATATACATTTGGGTTCTATTAAAAATTTTTTTTATTTCCTATATTCTCCAAACACACTCCACCTAATCTATTAATTCTTCTGCCACATATTTACAACAATATTAGTTCATATACTTGAGACATATTAATTCTTCTGTTATATATTTAAGAAAATAAGCTCAATAAATTATTATTAATAGAGCCTTATTTGCAAAGTGTAATATTTGCTCTTTTTGGTAGCAAACTTTCTCCAGGGATTTTGTCTCCCTAGGCTCTGGTGACCATGAGGTGTATACATCACTTAGAAGCACTCATGCTTCTTTGGGATTCTAAGAATAAGTTAATAGTCCTTTGAAGTTCTGATACCACTACCCTGTGAAACAGACTACTCCACAATTTCTTCGCCAGATGGGCTTAAGGATGACATTTTTGCTTCTTCCCAAGAAAGAACTAAAATGACAAGTAAGCAAATAGAGATCTAGACCATTCCATCTTGAAAAATGGGTTCAAGAAAACCAAGACACTTACGGAATCCACAAGGTTGACCACAGACTTTGCAAAGTTGTTGGTGTGCGCATGAGAGGAGCGATATTTCTTATACTGGAGGGGAGGGGAGTGGAGGGCAGGAGGAGAGACAGACCAGTCAATGCCAAATCGTAACTTAATGGTAAATTTCAAAATTCTGTAAAAGCAGAAATCACACAGCAACAGTTGAAATAGTGATTAAATAGTTGCTGAGAGAATGTCCATGTTGGATATGATATTCTTATTTTATTTCTCTCTTAAGCAATAAAATTCTATCTAAAGTACCCACAATATTCCAGGTAACAGGGAGAACCTAGCTTTATACATAAGTTTTTAATTCAGTCTTAATAGCTACAAATGCAATCCTTTTGTTTTCACTGAAATGACCTATCCCAGATAATAAAAGGCTTAGACCAAGAAATTCTGTCCTAACTAGATACCATCCTCACTCTAGGCCATGCACAGATCAAAGAAATTTCTTAGATTGAAGTCTCAGTACTGTTCAAGCATGGGATACATTTGGCATATCATTTGGCATATTCTCCAGTGTATCTCCAAACAAAGACTTTGGCTTTCAACTGTTCAAAGTCAGAATATAGACCAAAAGTAAAAATGAATTGGGCCAATAGCTTATGATTGTTTGTGGTTATTATGACTACTTATTAAGAAAAGTAAATTAAAAGAATAATTTGATAACAACATCTGGAGGGCTAATTTTAGTTAAGGAATACATTGCTCATTATGCTCTTGAGAGAATCTGAAAATGAAAGTCTACCATGGGTGGATCATGCCCTCATACATCCATATGCTATCACTGTTTTTACAACTGAATATAGAGAAAAACATACCCAGTGCTATTGAAATAGATTTCAGTCTGTTCAGATTTGCAGCACAAGTCCAAAATTTGACTCCAATTGTAATTATGAAAATAGTGCATCTTTCATAAATATTAAAAGTATTTTTACATTGGCAATCCATGATAACTGCTTTTTCTCCTTTACCTACTTTCCCACTATGAATTGGTAGACCCCTTTCATTTCATTCAATCTACCTGCTACTGTTTTTTATTTAACAAATAGATGCCTTCATGTTCACATACCTGTTTATTTTTATAATATTAAGGGCAATGACAACCCATGAAAAATGTGCAGCAAATTAGTATTGTGTTAATGGCAGCATGAATTCACAACTATTGGTATATTATCTGCTATAGCCTAGATGTTTATGTCCCTTCAATAATTATATATTGAAATCCTAACCCTAATAATGATGGTATTAGGATGTGTGGCCTTTGGGAAGTGTTTTCGTCATGAAGTAGAATCCTGGGTCCCTTAATGTCATGTGAGTACAGAGAATGAAGGAAGTATTATGAACTAGGAAAAGTGCCCAGAAAGCAACCATGTCAGAACCTTGAACTTGGACTTCCTAGCTTCCAGAACTGTGAGAAATAAATTCCTGTTGTTTTTTTTTTTTTTTTTTTTTATGAAAGCTCAAAGAGACTCAGACAACATCACTACTACTTTGTGTTGCTGCCCCCACTGGGGATCATGAGCTGCCAAAGCAGTCTTCATGTGCTCTGTCATAGCACACTTCAGCAAAACTGACCCCTAAAAGTCAGTGACTGCGAACTTTTTAGGTGTTTTTAACAGATGCTTTAAACATATCATGAAGAAGTTGCTATAAACAGCTCAGTGTTTTATATTGTCTAGCAAATTCTACACACTGAATGAATTCATTAAGGAATTCATTAAAATCATTCATAATTTTTGATGGTATTATTAAAACTAAAAGCAAAAGTTGCAACTTTATGTCCCTACGAGGTAATAAGACTACTTTGGAACTAGACAGAGCTAATGGTTCTATGACACAGTAAAGGTACTAAATGCCACTGAATAGCATGTTAAAAAACAGTCTTGACATTAACAAGTATGCATCATAAAAACCAAAGAAAAATGTTAGCTGATACCCATTATAAATGCAGTGGTGTTATACACCTATTATGATGAATTTATTTTGTTTCTGAACATTAATTTTCCTTTTTGGAGACTTCCTGTTTGTTATAGGGTACTGACCATGGAAAATATGATGTGTAATCGATCAGACAGGGTAAAAAATGGAAGCAGAAAGACCTATTGGTAGAAGATAACAAAGGCTGGCCATCTGTGGAAAGAAATGAGTGGATTTAAGATACACTATCAAGAATTCCCAAGACTGGCTGATAAATAGGGCGTGGAAGAGTAGGGAAAAGAACAAAAGAGAACTCCTAGGTTTTGAACTTGAATAGCTGCCATCTGAAAGAGAGAAAGACCACGGGGTGAGAAACTTAGGACTAAGGAACTCAAGTTCTGAATAAGAAATGTTAAATTGAGATGCCTATTGATATTGAAGTGTGGATGTCAAGTAGGCTGTTGAATATGTAAGTATGAAGCTCAGAAGGTTAGAGAAATAAAGCAGAGAGTGAAGAATCTGAAGTCTTGATACTAGAGGTGATCACTTTAGGAGGAGAATATAGCAAAAAAAAAAAAAAAAAAAGACAGCCTCTGGAGCACTCCCACAGTTCCAGAGGCCAGAAGTAAAGGATTAAGAAGAAACTGTCAGTGAACTGGAAGAGTTATTGGGTCACTGAGATCAAGAGATGAAGATAATATTTCAAAAAGGAGAGAGCAGCCATGTCCAATACTGCTGAGAGAGAACTAAGGTAAGGCCAGAACAATGATCATGAGATTTGTTCACGTGAAGCTCCATTTAATTAAGCAACTAGGATTCATTAAGGAACCATAATGTGTTTCTCCTACTAGAAATATTTGCTCCACATAACACCTTGAGGTGAGTTTTATTACCTCCACATTAGAAATGTGGAAAATGAAGCTCTGAGAGACAAATAACTTCTCCAAGATCAGAGAGTTGAAGTTCAAAACCTACTTTGTGTTGTGATGAAAGATAAACTTATTCAGTTAATAATTCTTATAAAATAGTTTATGTATATTCCTAACACCTCATGATTGTTGGTGAGAAGTCATAATTTGTCAAGTATCTATAGACTATAATTGTTTAATTAAAAAATCAAATGAGATTTAAGTTGAAAACTTTGTTATCACTACATATTTGCACTTACGGATTTCTTTGTAAGAATATGGCAAAAAAATAAGCATAACATCCATTTTTATGCTCTTTAAAATATCTCAACCCATTTTTTTGTCAGAATAATGTTTTTAATATGTACATTTAGCTTATGTGGCTCAAAGAAATGTTTGCAAATCTTTACCAAGGCTATAATTATCTCACAAATTAGGTTCTGCCTTTCACTCATTAAGGTGCTTTCTACAAAACTGAGGAATTTCTCTTTTCCAATTGAAAGCCACTGCTGATATGATGCTTGTTCAAAATAAGGTATCTGCATTTTCTCAGGAAGTCAATATTAGGTTACTCTGAATTGAAGAGGAAAGCTGGAACACAAATGTAGGGAGGCTGTTTCTATTTCCTGTATGAATTAGAACCAATTTTGCATACAAAGAAAAATGTATGATATCCATTTATGATAAAACTTATTTTCATATTTTTTGATGAAAGTAATTCAATTCAAAGTGGCAGATTTGCTTTTCCTTCATGAACAAATACAATCCTTAAGAAATTTGCTTTTTGAAAAAAATTTAAATTAGAGCTTGATTTTCAATCCCAGAGTAAGAGTTATCAAAAATAAATGTGCTGCCTCATCTAAAAGATTTTGAGATGGGTAATCTCAGTGGAATGATCATTCTAAAACCCAACAGCAATTCTCCAGATATTAAAATACAGATGTTAATTACTCTAGTGCAGTGTTACTTGCAGTGTGTAAATAGAATCATCTAATCCACATACTGACTTACTACTTTTTTATGGCTATCAAATTCATAAACTACCTTCATCTCATAGAACACATCCCTTGAAAAAGAACTCTTCTTAACTCTCAAAAGAAAAATATTCATGGAAAATGACACACTCATTTGGGATTCTTATGGACTAGGTGGTAACCTGGTCTTCCACAAAAGGATTATATTTAGTTTTACTATTCTAGATGAACATTTATTTAAATAGTAAAATATCTTATGTAATTTCTTTCTACTTCAGACATTATTACCATTCCAGGATACAGCTGTTTTGTTTTGTTTTTTTCATTTCATAACATAAGTACAATTACAGTTTTTCTGATTTCAAAGGTAAATGGACATACCATTTCTAGTCCTCACTCATTCTAATAATAGTAATAAAATTAATTACCCAGTTTACCATTAAAAAGATTTGGCAGTCTGAATAAAGTAACATTATTACAAAACATATGGCATAATCTGTAGATTTTTCCATCTATAAAGACAATTATTTTAAAGAAAGGTACTATTTTATTATTCATGTGATAAAGAGAAGATGATTAAAATGCTTCCAATTTAAAAGGATTGAAAAATAAATTCAAACTCTATAGTTAAAAGTTTCCTACTTTGTACAGTTACTGAGATTTGCACTCTGGTTGATGGCTTCCTGTATCTTCTTAATAGATTGTGGTTGAACAAAATATTTGCAATTACAAGTCATGGGTTTGAAAACTAATTATATCATTTACCAGCTATATGTGAAAGCACTTTGTGAATTTAAAGGTATTGTATAAATATCTTAATTATTATTTCCACTACTTTAAAAGTACTTGCATAATAAATGTTGAAAACAGCTGAGGTTTCTAAAGCCTTAATTTCACAACACGCCATAATGCTAAGAATTAAGGATTAGCTGGAGAAAAAAATCTCAGTGTCATAAAATAATTAAAAAATAATTCAGAAGAAAAAATTATCTTGGTGTTTCAAGCAACTTAATGTCCTTCAGAAATGTATATTTTAGTCTTTGTTTCAAAAATGGTTGCCTAAACACTTGATTTTCCTTCTTAGCAGGGAAGACCTCTCCTAAAGTATATGTAATCGTGATAAATTCTGTTTCATCTAACATATGTCAAGAAATATATTTAAAAGATAGTAGAAAACTAAATAAATGTGCTTACAAAATACAGTGCTACTCTATTAAATAATATTCAACACAACTGAATTGGTGGGAACAGTCACACCACAGATATCAACATTATAAATCAGGGTTTCTTTTCAGAGAACTGGGTATTAAACATTTACCAGCATGCCACAAGTATGGGGTACACTGGTAAACAGTCTATTGATCAAGACTCTACAGATGTTCTCTAGGCTTTGGCCAAGATATTTGATAAGGGAAGTAGTTAATTAGAATATAGCTAAGAATGTTTGTACTTTATATATGTCCATTTAGTATCATTGAAATGACAATTTGAACTACATTTTACTTTGACAGAAGTAATATGAGGTTATTTATCTTTCCATATTTGACGAAGGTAAATCATTAATTAGTCTCACTGAACATAATCTTTATTATATATTTTTATCTCCTATAATTCTACATGCCACTGAGCATACTAATTAGTAGGATAAAATAGCAATGACATGCTACCAGAATAAAGATATGGACTAAACTTAGAAAGCTGTGACCAAATACATGGATGAATAAAGGTAGAGAATAAAAATTCTGAACCATGACAAATGAATGACACCATATAAACAGCTAATTAGTACATTAAGTATAGTAATTATTAAACAGAGGAAAGCTTAGAGTTGTAAAAACTCTGTAAGATACAGTTTTCTGAACACCATGAAATAAATCAAGTCATTTAATAGTTCCAAAAAAACCAACATATCTAAATATCTGGTCTTTAATAAGTGAGAAATAATAAATCACTATGACTTGAAATATATTCTTTCTTAACTAAGTGATCAGACCTAAAACCTATTGATTCTCTCCTTACCGTTTTGTGATCATTGACAATCATAAGTTCCAAATATTTCATTTCTTCAAACACACCACGAGATGGCTGTGAAAAATAAAAATACCTGATCAGGGAAGTTGAAAAAAAAAATGACCATAAATTGAAGGTAAACATTCAAGGTTTCAGAATAAAATTGTATTTAATTATATTAAGAACTTGTAGAGCTATAAAACAGACCACTTTGTTTTCAGATGATTTTTATAGGTAAAAAATTATATATACTAAAAAGAGTGTGATTCTATTAAAATAAATACATCTTAATTTCTTTAGCATTAAATGTGATAAAAAAATGACTTAAAACTTCAAAGTAAACCTACTGAAAACTCATTTAATAAGAATAGCACAGTGTATTTGGAGCAGGTACTAATGCAGTTAAATAGAACGTGAAAATAATAGAGTGAAATTCTGATAATAAGGTACTAATTTTAACTACGCAATTTCTCAAAGGACTAAACATCGACAAATTACTATAATCTAAATTTTGACTATTATTAGATAATCCTTTAAGAGCAAGTACAAAGTACTTCAGCCATCATTTTGACTTTTCTTTTTTAAAATTAGAAAATTAATAATAGTGATTTTTTTCTTTATGTACATGGTTATTGATCAGTTTATAGTTGACAGAGGTGGACTATAGTGAAATATCAAGAACCTATATAAAAGTTATTATTACCGACCACATCTTTAAGATTAAGTGAAAAGAAATATCTAAGTTTAAAAAAAATCCATAAGCATCATAATACAAAGACAGGCTCATGAAAGACAGGATGATTTAACCTGTAACTAAGTTTTTGATAGCTATGACCTACTTTTTCCCCAAAAATACATTTAGCAAAACATTATTTAAAATGTGCAATTTCAAGTATAATTACTTATTAAGTTATCTAGTAAATTACCATGTTAATCTATATGCTGTGGAAATAATTCTTGGTTACACAGCTTTCAACATGTAATTACTAAACAGTTCCCATCATTACAGCTTTCTAATCTATTATGAAAAAGACTAGCAATGTAATTTCAGTTACCAAGCCCCCACACACTCATCAATACATGGGAGCTACATGACAGTTGCTGATCATGTAATCACATGATTCTTATTTAGTAATTGTCATGACACTAATGGTCAAATAGATTGACTCTGTTCAGAAAAACACAACAAGCTTCAAAGTTTGGTGTAAAAGAGTTTTTATTTTAAAACTTCAAAGAAAACCTACTGAAATAAGCATCATGTGCCCACATTTCAAAAAGCTAACTCCTCTCCCTACATTTTTAGTTAGCTGAAATATTTTGTATGATATTACATAAACCATATAGGAAAAAAAACTGGACCTTTAAGAGACAAAATTGTATGGCAATTTTCATAAGAAGACTTTGAAAGTAGAGCTAAAACAATACCTTCCTTGTAGACATCATGGTTCATAGCACAGTGTAACCAGCTTATATCACTAATAGGGAAAGATGAATAAAAAAGCAATGTGCGTGTAATACTCCAACCATAAGGGTTTGGTTTGCTGCTTTTGGTTGTTGGCGTTAGTAGCCCAAGTCTAAACTGTTTTAGGTGTACATACTGTGTGATGAGAAGTATACCATTAAAGGGATGGTAGGGCCCCGCTGTGTCTCAATCCCACACTCACATTTGCTGCTCTCTTTCGTCTCCTTTTCAGCCACTGTAATTCAGATAGAAGGGGCCACTGGTCACTGCCTTCTCTACCTGTGTGACAGGAAAAGAAATGGCAAGATTTATACTTGACAGCATTTCAAGGCGAGTGTGTTTTCAAAATATTATGTGAAGGGATAATAGCAATGATAACAGATATCATCTTAAACTTAGGTGAAAAAAGGACACTGATCATTAAACGTTGCACATTCTCATGGTCACAGTCATTTTCTTCCAAATATCATCAAAAGCATAATGAGTTGTTGAAAACATTAGAAAATGCATAGTTGGTCTACAACTACCTGATCCTCAATATCTGAAAATTTAGGATAACTTTGCCATGCTTAATTTATTTTAGAATTAAAAATAATGTATGGCATAAGCTTTTGCATTATTGTTAAAGACTTTTTGTATTAACAAAGAGAATATCACGTACCCTAAAACTTTGGCCAACATCAGCAGGCTTAAGATAGATATCTCAGGACCAGAGCATAAGAGAGAGGTTGGCATATCTTACAGGTTGGCAAAGAGCAGCACACAGTCAGGGAGGCTGAGAGAAGCCCGACTGTAAGGTGCTCTGTTAAATTTGGCCCATGCTCTCCCTCCTGGACTTCATATCTCAGAGTTTCCATTGGAAATGTCCCTCCATGCCTCACTGTATGAAAGCCACAGCTCATTCCACTGCCCACCCAACCTGCTAACCAGATCTTGACCAATTTCACTCCTCAATGAGCCTAACTGCTGAGTTCCCCCAAGTCAGAGCTGATATGACATAAATAGTAAGACTATCTCAATAAAACTTACTGAGATTCTTCATTTGCTTAAAGTATTGGCCTGCCAAGGTTTTCTGGATGATATGTGGTCGACCTGTGCTTTTCTGAAACAAAAACAATGTAGATAATTAAAAAGTAAGTTGAGCCAGCCTCTATGGAATAGCACAAGAACCTCTTCTAATGTCCATCCTAAAATGGCAGCATTTATCTGTTCATCTTCCAGGATCATAAATGAAAAGTATATGACTTCATGAAACTTTAATTTTAATTAAACTAGGTATCATGCAATTGTTTCAGTTTTGCTACTCTTAAGTCTTAGCTTTCTTCAAAGTCATATATAGTCACAAGAAACACAAATGGTCAAAAAACACAGGAGAAACTGTTGAATGCTTTACTACTCCTTCACAATACAAATTTTAAAAAAATCAATCTTTGCCATCAAATTGGCAAATGTTTAAAAATGACACTATAGATAAAATTATGATCGCCAGGCAGAAAGCAACCTCATAAACTGCTGGTAGAAGTAAACTGGGAGCTTATTTCAGAGAAAAATGTAGCAATTCTATCAAGAGCCTTGAAAATATATCTTTTGCCTAGAAATTATACTTTTAAGAATGTCTATTACTATTAGCTTCCATTACTGAGTGCCAGGAATGTGCCAGGATTTCCTTAGGAGAATCCACACAGTACCTATTTTATCTTCATTTCACAAATAAAAATTGAGACTCACAGAGATTTATTATTGAGTTAAAATTACATGACAAAAGAATGAGCCCATTTATTTTTTTAAAATAAAGAAATATATCATTTAAAAGCTGGGAGAATATACACTAAACAATAAGAAGTTATCTTTGGGAGATGGATAGTTATTATTTTTTTAAAGATTTATACAAGAACTGGGGTACAGACCAGAGGTGTGGGGGGTGAGAGAATTCACCAGAGACAGAGCGGGGAACAGAATAGGAAGACTGACTGAAATAGACTGCTGAGGGGAGCAGCGGGCGAGACAGGAGAGGTCTGCTGTGTCATGTGGGTATCTCCCTGGCTGGCCGGGAATTGAACCCTCGCTGCAGAGGCTGCGGACAGCTTCACAGCACTGCGCTCAACGTGCAGCACCACTGGGGGGGAGGCCCTGGATAGTTATTATTTAGTTAAGTATTTGCTTACTTTTCTTTTCCAAATTTCCTACAATGTATAGTTTAAAATCAGAAAAATGGTTATTAAAAAGAGCATTATAAAGTAACTACATAAATCAGTAAGAATTTTACTACTTATTACTTGAGAAAACATGAATTCTCATTAAAATATTCTATTCATATTACTTGACTTACAAAGCATACTAAAATTAACAATAACAATAAATAAACTTGAAAAAATCTAAATTCAATTACAGGAGAGTCTTAATTCTGTTAACAGGTGTAATGGTAGCTAAAATAATGAAAATGCTAACTAAATTTTGCAACATAATTTTTAAAACTGACTAAAGTTTCAAACACTGCTCCTTTCTCTCTATCAATGGTGAAGACAAGGGCAAATTGTACAGAAACAAAAATAATACAGTAGGAAGGAAGGTAAAAAGAAAAAGGCAATACACTTTTAATCATCAGAAGAATATGATTATGCAAGACCCATGCTTTAAACATTGTGATAATAACAGTTTATATTTATAAATCTCTCAACAATTTTCTAGGCATAGTCTACATTTATTAATTCATCAAATCTGCAAAATTGCCTTATTAGGGATTCATTGAAAAATTATCTCATTTTACATATTTAAAAACTCTAAAGTTTAGGAACTTGTTGCTTTGTTCTTTTCATTTTGTTTTGTTAGGGTAATAGGGGCATTAATCAATGCCAGAAATCAAACTCATTTTTTTGCTGAATGAGTCAAATAATTTTGCTATATATAGGTTATCTACCTACCATCGGAACAGGGGAAAAAACATTTCACTTAATCAAAATGTCCTTATCTAAATGGAGTTGTCTTCACTATCTGGTAATTTTTATAGCTATTAGTTGAAATTTTTTTTAACATTATCCATTTAAATTTTAACAACTCTTCTGCCTCAAATTTAATATTTGTCCCATATTTATATATGCATTGCCACAGAAAATAAATTTTTGCCTATTCAACTGTTGTATCAATGCCTAAGTGACTATTATCTGTTTCAAAATTAATTCCATCTACATCTGAACTCCCTAAACATTTTCTTTTCCCCATCAAATTATTGCAATATTTTATTTCTATAAATCTCAAAATATTATTTTTCAATTATAGCTTTTATTCATTAATGTAACTTCCCTGCAATTACCTCTCAGCACCTTCATCTCCTATTATTCTAGCGCCCACTCCACTTCTCTCCAATCTAGTAGAATTCTTCAGTTCATAGGACACTCCTACCTCAGGGCCTTTGCATTTATTTGCTCTTCTCTTGAAATGTTCTTCCAACTACCTAATTTCCTGAAGGTCTTTATTCAAAATGACTGTCTCATTGTACTCATCTCTGGAGAGTTAATATGAAAGTTTAATTCCACTCTCTTGACTTTGTTTTTAGTCCTTAGAATGTATCAGTAACATATCATACGTAATTACTTATTCAACTTCTTTATTCATGTCTGCCCCTGTAGACTATCTGCTTCATTAGGCCCAGGTTCTAGGTCTGTTTTGTTCACCACTGTCTCTTCAGCACTTAAAACAGGTCCCAGCATATAGTCAGTCATCACTACCACATTTGACTACTACAAATCAAATTTTAAATTTGGTTGCATTCTATTTGTGGGCAACACTGTTAGAGTTCACTTCTTCCCTACCCCCCGCCCAGTTTTATTGAGACATAATTGACATATAAATTGTGTAAATTTAATATGCACAACATGATTTGATAAATGTATATATTGTAAAATGATGACCACAATAAGTTACGTCCATCACCTCACATACTTATAGTTTTTTTCTTGTAATAAGAACTTTTAAGATCTTAAGATCTACTCTTGGCAACTTTCAAACATATAATATTATCAACTATAGTCATCATGCTGTACCTTAGATCTCCAGGAATTATTTATTTTTATTTTTATTTTTTTTTTAAAGATTTATTTATTTATTTATTTATTTATACAAGCACTGGGTACAGTCAGAAGCGCGGGAGGGTGAGAGAATTCACCAGAGCCAGAGCGGGGAGCAGAACAGGCAGAAGGACCGAAGTACACTGCTGAGGGGAGCAGCGGGCGGCAGGAGAGGTCTGCGTGCCATGTGGGACCCTCCTCCGGTGGCCAGGGAGCAGCCGGGGATCGAACCGGCGCTGCAGAGGCTGCGGGCAGCTTCGCAACCCAGCGCTCAACCGCTGCGCCACCGGGGAGGCCCTATATTTTTTGAATACCTTCCTCCACTGCCCCTCCACCTGTAGGACCACTAATCTGTTCTCTGCTTTTTAGACTCCACATATAAGTGAGATCACATGGTATTTACCTTTCTGTGTCACTTATTTCACTTAGTATAATGCCCTCATAATTTCTGGCCTGTGCCTGACTCTAAACATTATTTCCATATATCAAAGGAAAACTAAATATTATACAATATAACCACACTTCAATTCACACATTGCCCCACTGAAGATTCTTAGATTCACAAAAGTTAAGTACATACTAATGGTCATACAATTACCTAAAGAAGACAGTGAGAATAAAAGCCAGTTTAAAGGAAATTTGTTAGCACAAAATAAATATTTTCCCTCCTCTTGGAACTGAAAAAAACTGACCCTCATATCAAAACACCTATGATTCTGCTTCTAATCACCTCTTATTGTTGTATGAACTGGGATGTGCAATATAAGCTTCAAAACCCATACCATTTAAGTTTGAAAAAAGTACTCTGCATAAATGCTTATTAAAATCTACATGATTTTCTCTATTGCTCAAAAGGAAAAATGTTAGAAGAGTAAAACACCATGAAGAAACCAGTGCGACAGTCAGACTTACTTCATCATGAATCAGTTCCATTGGTTCTATCATATATACAAAGGAATCATCTTCAAACATACCACTACAACACAAGAAATAACACAGAGAATTAACAAATAGAGCAACATCAATAAATCCCAATCTACATATTGCCTTTAAAAATAAAAGAGTATATCAGAACAAATACCTTTGTATTACCCAAATCAAATTCACTTACCTGTATGCACCCAAGTGGTCCCAGCAAAATACTAGATTACAAAGCATCAAAATATATACCAGGAACATACCCATTTTACCTGATATAATTTTTTACATTAGATGGCCAGATTGAAAGATTAATCTGGGATAGGATTATACATGCAATTTCAGCCTCATAAATTATTATTCTAAAAAAAAAATTAGTGCAATTAGTGCAACTTTCTTGTTATGCAAACCCAGTGTCATCTAAATGAAAATACAGTTTCTTCATGGATTAGAATAATCTACAGTCATCTGATCCTTAAGGGGAACACAAAAGTATTTTTAATAACTACAAATGGTGAGTTTCCATCAAGCAATATGACTCTGTATTGAAAGGCACATTTAACTTTGAGAGACACAGGAGTTATTTAAGAAAGTGTTCAGATAGAACGTTCGAGATCCTTTTTCATCACACAGCCACGACTAAATCTTTACAGGGAATGTTACTGTGTTTGGGACTAAAACGTACCTACAGATGCTTTTATAAGAGCTGCCTCTAAACTGTTAAATGTTCTTCTCATTTGCACCCACCCTGACCTGGGTAACTCCGATTTAGTCTGAGCCTAACCTGACTGAGAAGTGCTCTGGGACAGCCTCTGGGAAATACTTTAAAGTAGATTCAGTCATCCCAAAAGCCCCTCCTTCTCCTTCACAGTATCTATCAAAATCCCAAATTAATATTGACTGGGTAATCATGTTTAATCTATGACTCTCCTGCACAGCTAAGTGTCAAGAGAACAGGGAACGTTTGCTCCTTGTACATAGGTCCATATCTCATCCCTAACACAGGATGGACACAGAAAAGTCACTGGATAAACATCTCTGAGAGGAAAAATAGAAAGGGCGGACAAATGAGGCGAGTGTGTTGTCCCAGTGAGAAACCCACGTACTGAAGTCCATTGCAGGTGGACAGAGCCGCCCTGGAATCCTTGACTCCTCGGATGCTTCCATGGTAGTAACAGTGCTCTCCACCCTGCAACACAGGAGATGGTTTAATTAATTTACACTTCTGCATTGTGAGTCACTCTTTGGAATGCCTTATAGAACAAAATAAATGTAAGGATAGGCCTAGGAACTGGGAAATCTTTCAACTTTTCTAAAACTAGTATGTGTGTATTACATTTGATGGAGAAAAGATTTGCACAGGAATAAGACACCAATATAACGAATACAACATATATACCTTATTGAGCATGTAAGGGTGCAGTGCAGATACCAGCTATGGTTAAGGAATAAGGTATTCTACCTAACTAAGGAGAGCTCTCAAATATGTGTTTGTAATAGTTTTTGATAGAAAACTACATAAAATCTTATTTGTTTTCCTATCTTTTAAAATCTGCCTTTAAAAATTTTTTTTAGATGGGCCTCCCTGGAGGTACAAGGGGTTAAGCACCGCACTGTGAAGCAATCCGCAGCCTCTGCGGCACAAGTTCGATCCCCGGCCAGCCAGGGAGCAACCCATAGTGCAGCAGATGTCTCCTGTCTTGCCCGCTGCTCCCCTCAGCAGTATATTTCAGTTAGTCTGCCTGTTCTATTCCCCACTCTGTCTCTGGTGGATCCTCTCAACCCCTGCATCTCTGGCCTGTACCCCAGCTCTTGTATGCATAAATAAATAAATCTTTAAAAAAAATAATAGATGAGTTTATATTTCAAAGTCAAATAGTAACTATACTATATATTTTTTTTAAATAGAGAAGTTTCCCTTCCCCTGCTCTCCCCACCTCTGCGGCAACCATTTTTAACTCTTTGAAGCTATTTTTGTGTTGTTTACCTAGTGTACTTCTGAACAGAATATTTATACTGTTAGTTCCTGGTTTATTTCATTCTAGAAATTATTTTTTGAATACAGAATCTTGAAAACCCCTCTTTGCCCTCAATACATTCCAATACATATTACCAGTTTCTTTTGTTAAACTGATACTTAGTGTTTCCATTATGACTATGTAAATAGTTATATAGTTACTTCACTATGATTATTTTCTTGCTTGGGCCATTTTTAATCTTTTTGCAAATTCTTATTTCATTCTCTTGTTTATTTTTTGCATCTATTTAGCACTTACATACTCCCTAGTACCTGACCTAATATCTAAACCTCTATATTAGGTAATTTATCATATTTATTTTGTTTTTTCCATCATTTAACAGTAGTTTTATTATTATTGTTGTATTACTTCTATTGAGGTAGCATTAGTTTACAATACTTCATATGATTTAGAGGTACAGGTTCATACTTCTTCAGATGCCTTATTCTGGAGACACTCCCCACCCCTTGTTTTCCTTCAAATCTCTACAAGGACTGATGCAAGCTGTTACACAGAACTTCTCTTTAGCATCACGCTTTGCCTCCCTTCACTATTGAATTCTAGATCCCATGACTGTTCCCCTTTTGGGGACTTTCTTGAAAAAGTATTAGTGGAAGAAAAAATTGGGAAGAACTGGCACATATGAAAATTTATTTTTCTATCCTTATCAAACACTTGGAAGGGTAAAGAATTCTAAATTGGAAACTATTCTCTCTCAGTATTTCAAAGGAATTACATATAGTCATATAGCTTTCAATATTGCTGTTGAGAACTGGATATTATTCTAATCTTAGATATTTTATAAAAAAATCCATTTTCCCCTTTTCAAGAAGACTACATTTTTTCTCTATAAAACAAGCTCTTCTACTAGAGCTGAGAAGGATGGCCTCCTGGCTCTATGGGGTAGGGAGTAGATCAGGGGCGTAAATACTCTCCATGCATTTTCAACCAATCTTTCTGTTGTCAGGTGCCTTCAATTCCAGGGTGCTCCTGGGTGACATGACTTGAAATGGCTTGCAACTTCTGGGCATCCCCCTGATTCACCCACCCACCCACTAGAACTTAGCAGAACAGGAAAAGTTCAAACATAAAATCCCTCATGCACCTGCTTTCTAGCCCCAAAAATTCAATGGACACCTCTCACTGGCTGTCTTTTCTTCGCTTGTCTTTCCTAGTGGGTTTTATTCCCTAATTAGAAGGAATAGATAAACATGAACATTGAGTCCACACTGTATAACTAGAGCTTACTATCTGTTTTCTTAAATAGACTATACTACACATACTTTGACTTTATGGGGATAACTTACAGTTATTTTAATCACTGCTCATTATACTATATTGCAATAGCCTAGAGGCTAAAGTGTTCACCCACACACTAAATGGCCACTCCCCTGTCAACTCAGTATCGAATTTGGCATTATAATTTTGCTAATATTTTAGAACACAAGGCACTCTACATATGCATATAAATGACATATATAAATATTTACTGACTTATATATAATATGTACATAATAGATTGACTACTATATAAATATTGACTTCCATATAATAGGTCAAGTTCTAGTTGAACTCAAATATTCAGCTTGAACTTATAAGGACAAATGGTATCACACATCTCAGCAATTGGAGAATTCAGGTCAATATAAAGCGATTAAATTTCAGACTCTTCACATGATTCTAAAAACAACCACAGGTAATTGTAAATTCCATCAAAATGGTTATTTAGCACTTTCTGTCACACAAAAAGGCTATCTTAAATCAGGTGATTATTAGAAGTACATAGCAAACACTCTCATATTTACCTGACCTTTCTAAGAAAAGCTGTATTTCTTCATATTTCCCTAAAAAAATTCTTTATTCCCCTAGAAAATATTTCCAACTCCTTAGATTTTAAGTTTCATTCACTTGTACTGGAAGCTGAAGGTTGATGCTCTGTCAGCATAAAGGTCATTGTTACTTGTTTTAACCAAGCAGGATATTTTCTAAAGGGAACTGTTTCATTCCCTGCATATTTGAATGTGGATCACCATATATTTCGGACCTCAAATGAAATTTGATGCAACTTTTAGTTCCTGGAGTTTATCATTAAAAAAACTTTAATATCTAAATTAGGTAGTTATACTAAGCAATATAAACAATTCAGCAAGTTCTAAGTTAGTAGCAGTATTGGTAGTATTGAAGCATTTTCTGACTTTCTTATTAGTAAATTTATACCAAGTTTTTAAGAAAGTATTACCAGAAAACTACTATTTGGTAACTCTCCAGATCCACGTAGCATTTTGTAAATACCATTGCAAAGTATTACCTTGAGCTATTTCCTATTAAATAAAACCCCTTTTGGGTAACAAGTGTAACAGGAGCAGGCCAGTGCAGAGCAGTCACTCTGGAAGGCTAGTTAATGATGACACTGCCTCAAATTTGACTAGCTCTAAGAGGTGCTTTCCACCCAAGGATCTAGCCACCTTGCACACTCACCTCTCCAGTAACTACTATCTCCAAGAACAGATACAGAGTCAGGCAAAGAGTCAGGCTCTGCCAAGGAAAAACGTCAACTGAATCCCACATCTTAGGGTTCTTGAATCAGTATTACTTTCTCCAGTCAGGAAGGCCTTGGACAGTTCAAGAGTCACTCTGAGATCAACACTTAATAGTGGGTCACAGAGCTGTGCTGTGACCAAACAGCAGGCAAGAGAAACAAAATGGGTTCATTTGGCATATGTGTGTCCTCATGGGAATCAGCATTTTCAGGTTCAAAACTGCAAGTCAGTAACCTAAAAATTAAATCTCAGAATTCTCAACAAAAATGGAGCCTCTGAGAAGTAGAAATTATTGGTTAGTCAACGGAAATTTGAAAACCTGGGAAGTATGCCCTCCTCCTTTCTAGCCTATCATTTTTACTAGTGCAACATTCTACGAGCCAGATAATACTCAAATGAAGGGACTTTTGCTCCACAACCTTGCCAAGCTCAGACTCCTGTTGGACACCACCAGGCTATGCCAATGAATTATGAAACACAGAAGCCATGTGCATCCTTTAAATACTTCTTAAACTCCTAAAAATAGAGCCACCATATGACCCAGCGATTCTACTCCTAGGAATCTACCCAAAGGACACAAAAACATTAATTTGAAAGGAAACCTGCACTCCTATGTTTATTGCAGCACTATTTACAATAGCTAAGCTAACCTAAATGCCCCAGAACAGATGATTGGATCAAAAAGATGTGGTATATATACACAGTGGAATACTATTCAGCAATCAAAAAAGATAAACTCATGCCATTTATAGCAACATGGATGGAGCTAGAAGGGATTATGCTCAGTGAAATAAGTTAGGAGGAAAAAGAAATACATTGGATGGTTTCACTTATAGGAGGAACATAGGGAAATCATAAAAGAGATCAGAAAAAAAAAGACAAAACTTGCAGGCAAACTATAAATCAGAGACATTCAGCAGGGGAGGGCTGGGAGACGGATCAAAACAGGGAAAGGAAGAGCAAGTACAAGAGACCATGGTGACGGTTCACAGGTGTCTTGGTGGTGGTAATTTTATGGGGATTACACCCAAGGGGAGAAATCAAATAATGTGAAAAATATATAAATAAAAATAAAAAAAAGAAAATTCTAGTATTATAACCAATCACTATGAAGAATAAACAGTCACAGGCTTCTTACCACATAAACTGCTTTGTCACAATGTACCCCAAGTTTTGTGACAATACTCCATGTTCTGGTTTGAGTATTCCCAGGTTTTTGGGGTATGTGTACAATATATTTAGTAATTACCAAACAAATAAAAAAATAAAACACTTCTAATCATAAGTGACTGGGAATAACAACTCTTGAGTCTGGCATAACAGCTTGGAGGGGGGAAAAAATTTGGTTCCCTGATAGTACTGATTGAGTAACAGGAACCATTCGAGTCTACTTTAAATAGATCCAGTTGAAAATAGAACCTATTATTTTGATTATTTAAAAAATTTTCTACCTTTGTATCTATTTAATTATCTCATTGACTTCTGTAAAGTTCAACCAGTCGGCTCCTATTGTCTTCATTGCTTAAGAAACTCTCATAAACTTAGGCATTCGTGGTGACCTAGTGCTGCAGTTTTTCAATGGACTCCTGAAGGTCTGGGTGCACATTTGAAAAGACACTGCATAGGCCTCA